GGTTAAAAAAGTTCCCCGACCGCTGTGTTAGAGAGATTATATGAAACGGTAAGAAATTTAACACCTCAACAATGCAATGATTAATTGAATGAACAAGACTAGAAATGATTGATACGTTTACATTAATTATTGAGACAGAAAAAGAGTAACTAATAATAAATGTAATTGCAACACCTGTGCACTCCAAGAATAGAATAGTTAGTACACACATCAAGATTGCAGCGGCCGACAAACAAGAAAACAGTGCGTAAAAAAAGCCACAGCACAAATCATCATTGGAGTGCACTTGGTGTCAAAGCAAATTGGAAAATATCCAAAAGCGATCCGCAGATGCTGATCGCAATATAAATAGAAAGCTTTAAAATAAAAAAAAATAAATATATCTCCAGATCAAAATTGAATCAAAAATAAGATGCACCTATGAATATCAATTACAACAAAAGAGAAACGTTCATTACAATTGTTACAAAACTAATCTTATGAATTGTATTTTGTTTATATTAATTCACTTTAAATATGAATAAACGCATTTCGCTTCAGTTCTATTTCTGTGACGCATCCAATTTGTCTATAGATACAAATTAGATGCGTCTCAGAAATAGAACTGAGCGAGCAGATTCAAATTGACGCTGATTTACAATTCAATTATTCTGTTTGTCAACACTATAGTATTATACCGTAGTACATATTTCGAATCAATTTATTAACAATTGCATTGTAATTTGTCAAATGCACCACTCGATGCAATCATATTATGAACGTAAACAACTTGTAACATGACCTACATTTGCATCGTGCAAGTATCTATAACATCTTAAGCAGATTAAAAGTAAATGCAAAAACTTATATGAATTTCGTGCAAAGTGATTCAAAATAGTTATGGCACGAAACAGTTTCTGGAATAAAATAACGTATTGTTTGTTGCGCGTTCTAAATATGGCCATAGTAAGCGAACAGCCATTACAATAATAGCAAGCGACACCTGTCTAGTCAAAACATGCATGCAAACAAGACATCTATATATAGTTATAGCCGGCTTTCAATGCGATGAAGATTTATATCGGCGAAAGCCAGAAAGACAAAGCGATGCGAATATACCTCAGCGAATACATACTAAAAATATATGTTATTCCATTCCTATTGTTAATAGTTTTTAATTATCAAAAAAAAATCACTTTTTTATTTTATATTACTATATTAAAGTTAAATAAAAGTATTCATTTGCGTTTGTGAATAAATATAATTACTACTAGAGCAAACGTACAAAACAATTACAATTAATAACAAAATAGAGCATAATAACAGTTTCCTCGTCTATTGAATTATAATAATGCTATCTATCCGTAAACACTAGTATCTGTTTAATTAACTTATCTATCCGATAATTACAGTATCTGCAACTTGATCAGAATATATTCACATGGAAGAATAACCAATTTAGTGTATTCTTAGTGTCTTCAACTTTTTTTCTTAAAATATTTTCAATTAATATAACGCTGACGTTAAATTTAACACGAGGATTAATTCGTTTAATGGGCAAACAAGTGGTAAATGATATTCCTATTTGCGTTGTAATTTATGGAGTTACGCAGTTGCAGTCTATTTGGTAATACATATAACGCAGTAATTGCGCATTCAGATTAATCACGTATAGCAAATTCGCAGTCTCCGAGCCAAATTTGCTAAATGAACAGAGTAATACATCTTATGCACACTCAATTGAATAAGCTACTTAATCCATTTGGTATCTCGATATATTCGAACATTCGCGATTATATAGTCAAACGATTGATTTATATAATGGTTCAGTTGAGAATTCTATATAACTATAGAACTAATTACTATATTAGCATCATATTTATGTACTGTATATTTTTATGCTTTAACTTTAAATGCTAATGAAGTGAAATCTAGATACAAGCGACCTGGTTATAAATAACATTTTTATCAAAATATGATACTAATTATTGAATACCTCCAACAAAAAAATGTGTTTCTATTTCTTGTTAAAGTTAAGTTAGTTTTTGAAAACTCTGATTTTTCAATCTTTTTGAATCGGTTAGAACATTACAATTAATTGTTAGAAACCTTCAGAGGTTTAAATAGAAACAAATTCAGTAAAATATACGTTAATTGTTTACGTAATGAGCGGACGGTGTTAATTAAAATGTCATGAAACCTACATGTTTAATTGAAACGACGTTATTTATACACCAAGGTTATCGTTGATAGATCGAAAGGGTAGCAAGTTAATAATAATATGAACATATTATGCACGCAACCCCATCGTATTTCTGGTAATTTTCTGGTTTCGTTCCGTCCAGAGCGTAACTGAAAATAATGAGCATGGACTGGCTGAATGGGTTGAACTTTAACATTATTAGAGGAACGAAAAGTTAGCATTCCTGCTGCTCTGAATAAATCATAATGTGTCCACTACATTCGAGCAGGATAAACAGAAAATCCTTTAACGAAAATTACCGTTTCTATTTTTATATCGGCATCGATAAAACATCGTCAAACAAAATGTTACAAAAAAAAGCTAAACACAAATCTGCGATCTAAATCACTTCCTGATGCTTTACATAATAAACCATAGAAGTGTAATACATTACAACATAAAGTTTTCACGAATTATATCCCCACATAACTTTAGTTGGGATACAATTTCTCACCGTTGATTACAATAATATATATTTGATTTATATTTTTAGCTCGGATTATAAATGTTAGCTAAAAATATTTTTTTTTTTAGTATACATTTTCTATTAAATTTCTAGTAATTTACTAGAAATATCCAATTGAAAGTTAACTACATATATTTTAATAATAATTAATAAAATACATAGTATTTGATTTAAAATTTGTATAGCTCAAAGTTTACTTCAATAAAGTCGATAATAATATAAGTTTTTAAAGCATTAAGTAATTGTATTATAGATTTTAACTCTTCAAGTGGCCAGAAATTCTTACATTTATAGACCCAACAAATTTCTAGACAACTGAATCAACATTGGATGGTATAGCGGCTATACTATAGCCTATCAAGATTCACACACCAACCAAATTAAATAGTAATTCCTCTTTCCTGGACATCTCCTAGAACATTATGCTCCACTAGGCATGTTCAAAAGGTGTTACATTGCGTGTACCACCTCAAAGAGTTAAGTAGTTTTAATAAATCAACACTAGGCATGCTCAAAAGTTGATACATTGCGTGTACCACCGCCCCTCAAAGAGTTAAGTAATTTAAATTAAACATAAACATAGAAATTATACTGTTGCATAAAACTTTACAACATTTTAAATATATTGGTGATAAAGAAAATAAAGCTCAGGGAAATAAATGTTATAGTAGAGAATAAATATTGGTCTTGGTTTTATGCACGAGTATCATAAATCCTCTTCACCCTCGTAAACTTTGATTAATAGATGTAAACAAAACCAGGATTTTTACGATTATGTTCGGTCATAATTTGTTTGTTTCATTTCCCCTTTTTTTTATATGACCTCACATTGTCGGTACACTACATTTTTATTAAGCTTTTATGGCTTATGCATTAATTCAATACAAATATATAGGTTTTATAATTAATTAATACAAACAAATCATTTATATGTTTGTAACCAAATTTTATACTAAAATTTATTTAATAATTATAATTTTAAGTTATTAAGTTGATCTCTTATGAATTCATATATAGTGAAGATATGTGCACTTAGTAATATTCAAACAATCAATAAAGTAAACATTTGGTTAAGAAGTTGATTATTATTCCCTAATGATTTGCATTCATTTAACTCAGAAATTCCTAAATTTTCAGACAACTGAATCGACGGATGATATAGCATATGAAGATTCATCCCTTGACAACCAAATTAAATGGTAATTCGTCTTTCCTGTACATTGTACTGTACTGGTACATTGCGTGTACCATCGCCCCTCAAAGAGTTGAAGATGAAAAATGATGAAATTATAGGAGTATTGAGGATCAAGTATTCAGGCGGTTGAAATAAATGAATCCTATTAGAACTTGACAGTCGTCTGGATAATTTGGGGACCTTTAAATAATTGCACTTTGAACAGGCGTTAAATGTACACTCGACACATTGACGATCAAACAATTAAAGACATCAAGTAAGCCGTTAATTTGTTTATTGAATTAACGACTTTGGCCGGTCACGAAATTCCCATTTCAAATTGCCCATGATGATAATAATAATAACAGCAATGTCACCGAATTTTTCCAATATTTGTATTTGTTCACTATATTGAAATGCAAATAAAGCGAGCATGCTGCTTTGCTGTGCTCTATTAGTATTCTAATTGTACTGTACGTACATTTCAAACCATTTGGAAGCGTGGTGCAATGCATATCAAATACATACAGGAGACTAAAATTAAATTGACCGGACTTCGGGTTTGCTTTTGTATATATGTGCAAGGAGCGAGAGAGAGAGAGCGTGAGGAGGAGGAGGTAATTGAACTTGAATGAATTACGAATTGATGAATGAAAAGCTCACCCTTTCCAATTTCTGGAAGTACTCCCTGAGAAAAGAGATCGGATTGCTCGGTCTGTTCACGCATAATTGGACGATGCATTCCTTCAGGACCTGCTGGATGTTGTGGTTCTGGACGTAGGCTTCGCACTCCCTGAACGCCTGCTCTTCATCCATGTTACTAGCCATTACTCTGTATACAACCACCGGATTAACGCACAGCAGTCAACAAGGCACTCGCACTAAAGCTTCGATTCGACGGGCCGGCCGCAAAACGATTAAAAAACTTCAAAATACCTCCAAAATATTCAACAAATTGTGCAATAAACACGAAAATATTCTTCGCGTCAGTCTAAAAAAATACCAGCGTCTGACATTTGACGTTCTTTTTTTTATATTATTTACACAATGCTACCAACTAAGAGGACGGTGCTATTATTGCCCAGTGCCGCCAACAAAACCTTCTTGCACCGGTGTTGTCATTCCCGCATGTCCATTTGAAAATACACCGTCAGTTTGAGCACGTGTTTTGTTTGTTGTTAAAATGGAGACTGAAGTGAATGAAGATGTTGTCGAGATGATGGAAGAAGACGAGGAGACCAACGAGAATGGCGAGGTGTATCTGCCTGGACAAAAGTTGGAGGCTGATGAGAAGCTGGTTTGTGATACCTCAGCCTATGTGATGCTCCATCAGGCTTCCACCCAAGCACCCTGCTTAAGTTTCGATATAGTTAAGGATATGCTAGGTAACAAAACTTTAGTAATTAAAATACCTTTTTTTTAACAATGTACGGTTTTTAGGTGATAACAGGGAAGAGTATCCACTGACCTGTTACATAGCCGCTGGTACACAGGCAAACAAAACTCATGCTAACAGTATAATTATCATGAAGATGCACAACCTTCATAAAGTTGTGAATCATGAAAATGAAGAGAGTGATTCTGAGGATGATGATGAGGAGGACGATGATGAGGGTGAAAAGAATCCAAAAATGATAGCTGCTTTCATCAAGCATCCTGGCTGTGTAAATAGAATTAGGGTAAGTAATACATTCACTATTCATTCATTCACAGATGAAGTTTTAACAATATCGGAAATTATTTACAACTTTTTATATATTACAAATGATTTAATTAATTCTTATTTTTCATATTGTAATTATGTTTTAAAATGTACTGTTGCACTGGATATGAAAGTAATAAGAAATAATGTGTAATTTCAGACTGTGACTCTACCAAATGTAGCATTAGCAGCCACCTGGAGTGAGCTGGGAATTGTAAACGTTTGGAGTATAAATGAACAGTTGGAGGCGTGCGACTCGCCGCAATTATTGGAAACTTATAATAAGAAGCAAAACGCAATCAATCCGCTTTTCTCATACAGAGGACATAAATTGGAGGGATTCGCACTGGATTGGTGTCCGACTGCACCGGGTGTAAGTATATTCGCTAAAAACAGTAAATAATCTTAGACTTAATTATATTGATTTGTATTAGGTGTTAGCAACAGGTGATTGCAAACAGGATTTATACGTGTGGCAACCAAAAGAGGGCGGAACTTGGGAGGTGTGTAGAGAACCGCTTGTCGGTCACACGCAGTCCATAGAAGACATCCAATGGTCTCCCAATGAGGTAAACGTGATGGCCACGTGTTCTGTAGATCGTTCCATCCGCGTTTGGGACACTCGTGCGGCACCTTCCAAGGCTTGCATGATCACCTGCGAAAACAGTCACGAAGGTGATGTGAACGTAATCAATTGGAATCGCAACGAACCGTTCATACTGAGCGGCGGCGACGATGGTTGCTTGAAGATCTGGGATTTGCGGCAACTCCAACAGAATAGTCCGGTGGCAATATTCAAACACCACAAGGCTCCTGTAACCAGCGTCGAGTGGCATCCCACGGACTCGACTGTCTTCGCCTCATCCGGAGAGGACAACCAGATCGCTCAATGGGATTTGGGCGTTGAAAAAGACGGTGATCTGACCGACGTTGAGGTGAGTGCATTCAAATATAGGCGTATTATTTATTTTTTTATTAATATTTATATCTATATCATTAGGAAATACCTTCGCAATTGCTCTTCATCCATCAAGGACAAGAGAACATCAAGGAAATCCATTGGCACAAGCAATTGACTAGTGTTTTGATCAGCACGTCGCTCGATGGCTTCAACATTTTCAGAACGATAAGTGTGTAGCATTTTATTTATGAACAATCTTCAATTTTTATTGTAATTACACTTAAAGTTGTTGCTTTCATTGGCTACTTCTAGAACGTTTATAATAATTATATATAACACAATATTGATGTTAAAGTTAAAAAATATATTTTAAAAATAAACGACTTTATTAACCAAAAAAACAATACATAATAATAAATATGCCTATAAAACAAAAAGAGGTAGGGTAGTTATACCATTTTTGTTAATAGATCTATATTGACTAAATGTCGCATAGTTGGTCTACCGTGCGGACAATTCTAGAAAAAGAAAATCGCATTATTATTTTGCAATTCTAAATTTGAATTAAAAGAATGTTCCTTTCTTACCCAAGGTTGATCGATCGTGCCCATATGTTGTACAATTAATCGCATATCATATGTACTCAACACTTTTCCGAACATCACAGATTTGCGGCAAGCTCTAGATGCAAACATTTCGCGAATTCTCGTAGGCCTGCAATTCTTGCTGTATCCCTCCTAAAATAATTTATTATTAATAAACAATAATCCATTGTAATTCATATGAAATGAGTGAATTTACTTGTAACATGTAAAGCATTTCGTCGATGTCAGTAGGTCCAAAGATAACGGACTTACTTAGAGGAATCTTCGTTAATTTCACTTTCTTCGTTGCTTCGGCTGCAATAAATTGTTGCATTATAATATTTAAATAATTATAAAAACTGAAATATTTTATAACATACCTTGTTCATCTATAATGAAGCCGAAACCATTTTTACTAAATACATCCAGGTTATCCATTAGAATACTCTCATAGGCTGCCGTCAGTTCTAAATTCTTCGGACTGCAAGCATTTAATAAAATAAAAACTATTTTTTTTTACTAATGCTGATAAATACCTACCAAATAAGTCGCTGACTAGGTATGACGTAGTCTTTCTGGAGATTCTCAAAGTTGAACTTCTCGTCGGACGCATGTTGATCGATGATGAACAAATCTGATCCTAACTTGGTGATGATAAACGCATGATTAAATTGCCCGATGATAGTCATATTAGCGAACTGGTCTTTAGCAAGGTGCCTCTGTAGCTCGATGGCAGCTTTATCGTTGTACTGTGGCGCAATACCATAGTGGAACTTGATGTCCGGAAATTTACTCTTGTCTCCCTTCTTTTGATCGTTAAACAGAACATCCCTCAAGTAGTCGATCGTCAAGTTGACGTAGACAGTTTTGCGGTTCTGGTGATAAATGTTCCTCTGGGTGGTAGCGCGACCATCTGAAGGGATAACAGTTATTGCGGGAGTTACATGGACAGTATTGTCGCGAGGCATTTTATGGGATTCGTAGGTGGTGAAGAATTCGGCGATTGTAACGCTTAATTTCATTTCAGTATTGTCACGGGTACTCTTCGAAGCCTCGTCCTCTTCCTTTTCTTCGTCCATCGTGTTTACTAACATTGTTAGATTATCTGGTGGTTCTGGTGCGCAATCTTCTTCGTTCAACATGTTTACTAAATCTGCTAGTTTATCTCTAGGTTCCGAAACCGTAATTTCTTCAATAGTTGTCGTTTCGAATACATTTTTATTATTTTCAGATTCTTCTTCATGCAATTTGCTTACTAGCTTCACCATTTCATTTTTCGGTTCAGGTATCGCGTCTTCTACATACTCCAACCTGTTTACTAATTCCACTAGTTCATCTTCGATTTGTCGTGGTGCGCTTTTTCCAGCAGTCGACTTTCTTTCTAAATACTTTGGTTTATTTTTAGGTCCTGCCTCCGTATCCTCATCACTGTTTACTACATCGCTATCTTCTAATTCCACCTCGGAATTATTCATCTTGAAGCTCTCCAAATCCAGTTTACGCGAGCATCCTGGCTCGTCGAACTTTGGCTTCTTTTGAAAGAAATTAAAACTCTTGTCTGACATGGGCGAATTGCGTTTGCTGACTTTGCTCTCGTTCAAAGATTCCATTTTGTACATCGAAGGAAAGAGCTTGAAGCTTTCCAAGAGCGTCGACTTAACGGTGGCCAATAGTAGCTTCTCTTTCTCCAAGAAGAGCATCCTCTTGTCCGGAGTAACATTTACATCGACGCAGCTGCTCTTAAGTCTCACATTCAGATAAACGAATGGATACTGATGGACATTGAATTGTCGATATATGTCGTTGACAAGTTTCATGAGCTTTGGGATATCACAGGGTCGCGAGTTTACGAAATAAAACTGCCGATCGGACGCGCTGCGCCCGCTCCCGTGGATTACACTAGAAATAAAAAATTCAAAATGAAATGGAGACTCTTCCTTCGCTAGTCTAGTTAAACCGAATTCCTCTGCCACAGATTCGTCGGGCTGGATGAGCTCTACTTCGATCAGCGAAGAGATCTGCTTCGCACCGAATACACTAATTATGTTCTCTTTTACCGAAGATAAGCCGCGCGTATTAACTACGTTACATTGGTTGCCTTTCGATGTAATATTCGTGCACGAAATCCTAAACAAATTTCAGCAAGTTAGTAATACAGTCATCGATACTGGACGAAGCTCACTTGATTCCTGTGCTTACTAGGCAATAGGCATACAGCAAGTTGCACATCTTATTAAATTCCCTTTTGTGATTCTTCACGAACTCCTTGCGACGCACCGGAATTGGCGTGAACAGATTTGCCAGCGATACAGTGGTTCCTACTTGTCGAGCCACCGGTTCCTTTTTCACAATTTTACCGTTCTTATCGTATTTGATTTTAGTACCATGATCATCGGAGGAATGTCGCGTAGTTACCGTCAGCTCGGAAAGGGCGCAAAGGGAACTGAGCGCTTCTCCGCGAAATCCCAACGTGCTCACGAATTCCAAGTCGGTAAATTGTCGAATTTTTGATGTGTAACTTTTCAATGCTAAAAAACAATATAGAACAGATTAGCAAGTTATAAAACTTCCATTTATGAGTTAACAAATAGAAAGTGAAATAAAAACTAGTTGTCATTGCTTTTCTAAATTTGTTGAGAAGTTTTTGGATTTTCTGAATCAAATTTGAATTATCTCAATCAAAAATCTGTTTGTTACAATCTTTGATTGCTTATCACAAACATAATTATTCCAAATACTAGCAATTAATCAATCTTACTTAATGCTTCAAAATTGTCCTTATTCACACCACTGCCATTATCAATGACCTCAACCAAATCCATCCCATAGTTCTTCAATTTGATTTCAATATTGGTGGCCCCAGCATCAATGGAGTTCTCCAGCAGTTCTTTAACAGCAATTGACAAGCTCAAGATTACCTGTTAAACCATTTACAAACATATATTAGTTAAACTATAGCAAATTGCTCTTTAATATAACCTGTCCAGAGCAGATCCTGTGCACAGTTTGCGAGGAAATCGCCTGTATCTTTCCTTCCTGAACGTCCTCCATCTCCTTAACATCTTCCTCACAACTCATGACACTCTACAATAAAACATTTAAAAACCCGAAAATCTGGAGGTTACAAAAAAGAGCGGTTTCAAATATTCTTATTTGATTTGATTTGCAATATTTCACATATTGGCATTCCTGCTCTGCGCCAATTTTTCACGATTCGCATTACGATAAAATTAACAAAGTAAAATAATACATTATGATTTGCAGATAGATATTCAATGCAGTTAGTACGTAAATTATCGAAATGTATTAACTAGGAAGAACACATTTCTACTGTAATAAAATATAAATTTTGTCTTCTGAAATTGGTAACACTGAAATGAATCATTGTTATTGAAATTCTCCAGAAAATTAAACGTCAAAGTAACATTTACAAAGTGAACATTGTAATTGATAAGAAGTTATTGTTCGTTGATAGTCTAAAGTGCTCTATTTTACTAGTAATGCTCTGGTAGGTGGAAATCTGACCTCTTTGGAAATTATCTGGTGAAGCAGACGAAGATGTATCCGAACTTGATAAAGTGCCAGTCTCCGGACCCGAAATTTATTTACGATGAAGCCTGCTTGGATTTTCACAACAACTTCAAAGATGAAGTGCAAATTTATGGGCAGAACGTGGAATGCCACAAATGCGATTACCAATTTTTGTTTAAACTCCCAGCACAGAATAATGCATCACTCTTGGTCAACACCAAATATAATATGCGGATGCAATACATTCACAATGGTTCCACCCTTTGCGAGTAAGTTTATTTCTTATTGCTTTATTCCTATGGTGATTCTACATAATTTGGTTTATGTTATTAGGATGACCCATGAGTTTTTGGAGCACTACAGATACATGTGGAACATCTCTGATAAATGCACCCCATTAACAATTGTAAAGGATGCTGATAGTGCCTACATTCGTAAGTAAATTATTTGTAACTACTTATCTATTGATTTTCAATATGTCTATGAAATATCTGTACTTACAAACTATATAGGTTGTAAGTAGGGTAGATGTCAGATATTCTATTGTCATAACTGTATTGTTTTTTTTTTCTACAAATGGCTGTTCATAAATCTAAATATGTTATTTTTGCTTTAAAATTTACATTTTTCCAGCTTATTAATTTATATATTGTTGAAGTTTATCTTTGTAATCATTTTACACAAGATCTTATTATTTTTCTATTTGATTTATCAGTAAAGCATATATAATCTGCAAAACTAGGAGACATTGTTGTGATATGTAGTTGAATTACATATGTTATAAAATTGAAAACAATGAATTCAAGTATTTACTTTTACTGAATATTTGATCTAATTGCAATAAACCTTGAGCATGAAGCGTTCAATCCAAATACAGAAATAACAAATTAAGTGCAAAAAAGAGTAATTTACTTCAGAGGATCTAATTCATTTGACATTTACTTGATCTTCACACAAAAAAACAACATTTCAAAAAATACATTACCTCAATAATTAAATTATGCTGTGCAACGAAATTTTTCCACGATTTTATATTTATATACATATTATAAACAAGAGATATGATAATGTAAATAACAAATAAATTAATTAACTGGACAATTTATTGCAACAGTTAAAAATATTTACTGCAGAATTGAAATTATTCCGCGATGAAAGAATTGAATGGACGTGTATATATAACTCATTCAACGGCCAATCTTATCTCGTTGTAGTAAACTATATGGACTTGTATATAAATAGCGCTCGTGTACAATTGATATGAAGGAAAGAACATTTTAACAAATTTTATTGTATAAAGTATTTTTAACACGTGTGCTTTCTGTTTAGCGTTCTTAATTTGTATTTAATTAGCCAAAAATATTTTATTTATTTTAAACATAAAATGTGAAATGTCTCTATAATATTAGCAATAATTTGTATATTTGCTTAAAGTAATTGTAAAAATTCATTAGAGATTTGTTATATTGGTTTATATTTATTTTTTTTAGCAATACTAAGCGCATTCATAATCTTGTTTTGCTTTGGAACTTTCTGGTACATGATAAAATGCATTTACAAATGCACCAGAGACAACGTTTTTTGGAGAAGGATTATGATGAACTCTACTGAAATGGAAAATGTAAGTACTTTTAAACTCATATGAAATTTAATTTGAGAAAATTGTTTAGTTTCTATTTTATTCTTTCTTACTAATTCTCGCTATCAATCGTATGACTAACTATTTACGGATCATGTGTAAAGAAATCTTATCATTATTGGTCATTCATATGTAACATTGACTGTAAATACCAATATATATTCCTAAAATAACATTTATACATAATCTTAATTGTAAATAACATATGTTTCGCATTTATAACTCATATTTTTTATATTCGCAACAGTTCAATTATATAAAGATAATCATGGGTTTTTATAAATGATTTTCATTTAATTTGTAGGATTTGGGAAGTACCACGGATACGGTGTTGGTGATTGAGCGTCCACCGCACATCAAGAAGCAGTCCCAACGAATGAAATCCATCGATGTCTTTCGCGGCATATGCATTATCATAATGATATTTTGCAATTACGGCGGTGGACAATACTGGTTCTTCAAGCATTCCATCTGGAATGGATTAACTATTGCTGATTTGGTATTCCCATGGTAATAGATATTCGATTTGTCAGTGCTTCTTGAGATTTTACTTGAACAATAATCGCAGGTTCGTTTGGCTGATGGGACTGTCCATGGAGTTCTCCATGAACAAGAAGTTGAGAAGGGCAGTACCGAGGAGACAAATAGCCATGCATTGTGTCAAAAGATCGTTGATTCTCATTGCAATCGGCATCATCTTAAGCACCAACAAGGATCCACATTTGGAGACGTTCAGATTTTTGGGCATATTGCAGCGTCTGGGACTGAGCTACATGATCGTCGGATTGATAGAAACTTGCTTCTCCAAAAGGTCTCCATCAAACGTAAGTTTAAATATTGCACAAAGGAAATATACAATTTTAATTAACTTATGAAGTTCTGCAATTATATATTATGCGATAATTGATAAGTTACATAGCAGTAACCTGTTTCACTCGAATTGCAAATTGATAAATATTTGTAAATTTGAATTTCAGTACCGACAATGTCGTTTCGTCCCGGAAGTGCTGACGGCAATACCACAATGGATGATCATGATCAGCTTGGTCGTTATTCACACATGCATCACTTTCTTGATGACCTTTCCAGGTTGTGCCGCTGGATATTTGGGACCCGGTGGTCTGGACGATGGTGGTAAATACGAGAATTGCACTGGAGGTGCAGCCGGCTTCATCGACAGGACAATCTTGCGCAAGCACGTCTTCAACAGCTCACAAAATTTGGATATCTACGATTATCCCATTTTCAAAATGGATCCGGAAGGTAGACACATTTTCAATTTCTACATCATACTTGTGCGTATCCATTATTAATATAAACATGGTTGCAGGTGTATTGGGTACGTTAACTGCAGCTTTCATGGCATTCTTGGGAGTGCACGCCGGTCGTATTTTCAAATCTGAGAGTTCGATTCAAACGAAGGTCACCAAGCTGATGGTCTACGGAATAGTATTTGTAAGTATAAGACGAAAATAAACACGTTCCGCGTTAACTGAACTTGGTGCAGGCAATTGTGGGAGGAGCTCTGTGCGGTTTCTCCAAGGAGGGCGGACCGATACCGATCAACAAGAAGCTTTGGTCCTTGTCAATGGTCTTTGCGCTGAGCGGAGCTGCGTATGTTATAATAGCGATCCTTCACGTGCTTGTCGATGTGACCAGGAAGTGGGGCGGAAGACCTATATTCTACCCAGGGATGAACCCGCTGGTCCTATACATATTGCATTATCTGTTCAAAGATACTTTGCCCTTCGGCTGGAAGATTCGCGATTCGCAGACCCATTCCGCCTACCTGAGCATGAATTTGTGGGGAACGGCACTCTGGGTCTGCTTCTCCGTGTACCTATATAAGAAAAACATCATAATTTCGCTTTAAATATTTGATAACGCTAAAGGTAGGTGTGTATTTAGGCGGCTAATCGCGCGATGAGATGAATATCCTAAATAACGAAGGAAAAAAAATAATGGAATGTGATATATATAAGATGAGAGTGTTTATTTTGTAATTTCTTACCAAAATGTGCGTATAAATTTATTTTACTCCTTGCGTTATCTATTTACAATTATATAATTATTGTTTGATATAGTATCTATTGGATGTTCTTTAATACATTTGTATACATTTTAATGAAATATGATATTACTTGTGAATGATTTAACAATGCAATTTTGATTTCCCGTTGACTGAAATTACTTTTAATTCGAATATTTACGAGTGTATAATGTTATATTATCTATATCAAATAATAAAATAAAATCCAACTTGCTGATTGTTAATAGTTGGCCGCTTTGTATTAAAATAGTACTATAATAGAGTACATAAATAAGGAAACAAATAATATTCTAAACACACAAAAAAAAACATCCATAATTATAATCGAGGAATGGCGAAGAATCTTTGGTTTATACAATACCAACAATTTGTATAAACTGTATCTAGATAAGAAAGCAGCAATTATATATGTATAGTCTTAAAGTGCATAGTATGCATCTGTTTACTAGAAAATAATAAACGTATAAATAATGTTTTTTTTTTTTCTTTTATAAACCACACTCTCATTGAAACCTGATGCTTTTACAAATACTATTCGACGCGTCTCTTCTTAACTAAGGAACCCAGCAAATCTGAGATCGCCGGCAAATTGTTGGTCTGATCGCCTGCACCGGTGTTGACTTCGCTTTTGTCATTCTTTCCGCTCTTGATGTTCCTGTGTTGTGGGAACGTTGGCATCAGCTTCGGATCACAAGCTGCAACAATTGGTTTAATTAATAATTTATTTAAACTGCATAACTCAAAATAATACTAAAACTAAAGAGCTTCTTAAATGAAAGCTTTAATGAAAAATAGGAAGTTATGACGTATGCTACTTACGTTGTGGTGCTTCCTTGAAGTAACTGCTCTGAAGACACTCCTCAGCGGTGGCGCGTTTTCTAGGATCGTACATGAACAAGAAATTTAACAATCTCAAGCCAGCACCGGATAGCCAAGGGAACTTTTGTTTCAAGTTGTTGTACGGCTGTTGTTTCAACGTATAATTCTGTAGCGCCGGCAAATTACTGAAACCAGGCCAAATGGTATCGGATGGCGTTCCTAAAAGAAAACACACAATATATCAGCGAAAATAGCAAATAGTCATTGCAATCAATTCCACATACCTAACAGATCAACAATAAGTTCCAATTGTTGAATCTCAGTTCTGCCAGGTAACAGTGGTTTGTGTCCAAGAAGTTCACCAAGTATACAGCCGGCAGCCCACATGTCTACGCTCGTCGTCTGAGTTGGGGCTTGCAACAGTAGTTCAGGGGCACGGTACCACAGTGTAACGACGTGCGGAGTCATCGGTCGCAAAGGAACGCCGAACCATCGGGCCAACCCGAAATCAGCTAAAAATTAAAACAATTATAATTCCATCCAAACTCTCGTCGTTCACAAAAACATTAACAAACCAATTTTAACACAGCCCTTATCGGTCATCAGCAGATTAGAGACTTTCAGATCCCTATGAACAATGAAGTTGTGATGCAAGTATCGCAGACCTCTCAGCACTTGCAGCATAATGCATTTAACCTGTGACTCAGTGAATGGTGTTTGCATGTTGTCCAGCAATGAAGCTAGATCCTGCTCACAGTATTCCATAGCCAAAAAGATACTGGAACTCAAATCATTTCTATGAAAGTTGTTTATTAAATATAAATTAAGGAAACAATTATCTCACCTCTCCAGGCTTTTTCCAACAACAACTTCCTTCAACTGCACAATGTTCTCATGCCTGCAGGTTAGCAGAATCTGGATTTCCCTCAGGCTGCTGATTGTCACACCATCCCTTTCCAAGTCCATTCTCACTTTCTTCAGGGCCACAATTTTATCTGACACAGTGTCTTTGGCTCGGTCTACACAAACACAATCAAGAATTCAGCTTGTATACATTTTTAAGTGATTAAGAGACAAACTTACAGACAATTCCATACGTTCCTTCACCAATTCTATTGAGCTTTTCAAATTCTGAAACGAATCTACATCTTCCCAACTAAAACAAAAGAAATGGTAATTGTGAATTAGTTTTTGTAATATGCAAAAAAAAATAATGAATTGATACTTACAACATCTGAGTCAGGGATGGACATGGTTTTTCCAGTTTTGAACGATGTGAGAACGCCTTTCTTGGTGATTGGAGCCGAGGGCTCCATACCATTCTCATTTTGTGGCCCTATCTTTGGTAGCGGTGCTACGAAATATATGTTTGGTTAGGTTAAGTAAAAATCACACGTAAATACCAATTGCAACTTACATTTGTGCAGTATATCCATTACTGCGTACACTCTGGCTGTGATTTGCAATAAATATAATATATCTTAACCAGTAGATCTTTGTGAATGTTTGCACTACGTTCACAGAACAAGCTAATCAAATGAAAATATATACGATCAACTTCATTGTCAACAAAAACATCCCTTAGGCAACCAAAGAAACTGTAGAAAATAGTTCTATCGTTTTGGCGCTGATAAATTTTAACTTTCGAAATTTTACCTTCTTTATTTCAACTGCTCAATTTTTTGAGGAGCGATGAGACACGAAATGTATCACCCTTTTGAACAGTGAGGCATTATTATAATATTATAGAAAATATCCAGGAATGAGGAATTACTCTGAATGAATTTTGATAATCCATACCATCCAATGTTGATTCAGTTATCTAAAAATTAGTTGGGTTTAGAAATTTAGGACTTTCTGTCCCCTCAAAGAGTTAAAACAAAATTAGTGGGCAATGTTACTAGATTGAAACATTTGAGCAACAAAAACAATTACTTAAAAAATATTTATTATTGTCCTATTTTATAACAAGAATTGTACAAAGAATATGTATATTTTAAACGAAATTCTATAAATTTCAATCAATTTCTTGTAGCTTTAAAATGTTTGTTTATACACTGAAATTTCCTAAAAGAAAAATCGTTCCACAATTAAATTAAATAGAAATTCAATATTGTCCTACTTTGTAATCATTCTGCTTGTTCGCCTCCTCCTCCACCACCACCTCCACCTTCTTCATAATGTTCATAAATGTAATCAAACAACAGGAAAAGATACCACAAGGTGAACATGCATGGTGGATTCTGGAAACATTCCAAATTCATGATTACTTTCTAGATTTCTTCTTGTACAGGAATTTAAGCACTGGAAATTTTGATTGATGATATTTATCAACTGATAGACAATATAGGTCAAAGCTTACTTTGATTCCAATCACTTAAACGAAGGAATTGAACAGAAACAGAAAGAAACGAAATTGAAATGTGTCTTAAAATTTAATAGAAATATCAATCGGATGGCGATATGTTCTGAGCGGCTGCAATCAAGGTGTCATGGATCTCTTTGGTATAAGAAACCTGGGCGTTCACCGAGGCCAAATACTGAGGGTACGTCAATGCGTTATCCGGGATGCCAGTGTTGTCCAGACGGGTTGGAATTACCGGCAGATGATGATATCTGTTGCTGCTCTCCGCTTGTCCAATTGCTTTTATTGAAGTTTTCTGAAGATAAAACACAGTTTACTATCAAGAATTAAACGTTATTAACATTTTACTTACCACATGCAATTCAATTAAGTCACAAAGGGAATAAAACTCTTCCAAATTCCTATCAAACCTTGGTATGTTTTCATCAACTCCTTTTCTGTAAAATAAGAGTCTTCAATACAATTCACAATTTAATTATACTCATACACTTACTGTGAACCAACATCAACTTGACCATTCTGATTCAGCATCTGAGCTGCAGCTTTTATAGTACTCTAAAAATTAAAGCAATTTAAGATATGTTTGCAAAAGTATGATTAGACTCTTACAGATAGAGATTCTCTCAAAGGCAGGATGAGTGTTTTAACTTTGGTAATGTTATCCAAAGCAATTTGTAAATTATGATGCTGATGGTGCAGCTGCAGATTTGGCTGTTGTCCTTGTTGTTGCTGCTGCTGCTGTTGTTGTTGCTGCTGTTGCTGTTGTTGTTGCTGCTGTTGTTGTTGGTGCTGTTGAAGTTGTTGCTGCTGTTGTTGTTGTTGACTCTGCTGTAGGAGTTGTTGTTGATGCTGTTGCTGCACAGGGGTCAGCTGGGGAGGCATCCCCATTCCCGTAACATTCATCATTTCTTAACAACAAAAGTTATTATTTATTGAATAACAATTAAATACAAAAAAAAAACTTACTACTTTATATAATGATGTGTGATCGACGATAAATATATCTTGACTGAACTTATTACAAACAATTACAAATATCTGTTGTTGACTGACAACTACGTTTGACGTTTGACAGAACAATATGATACAAATTGATAACACTCATATATTTGTTTGTTATATGTGCTATAAGTTATTATATTTATAAAATAATTATTATATTAATTATAATTAAATTAAATTAAATTATATAATTATAATTATAAAATAATTTTTAAGTCAACTAAATCTATGTAATTATTGTAATTTAATAGAAATTATGGTTTCAGATGATAAAATGTTGCTGATTTGATTATTTTTATTACCTGCGGTAACCAGGTTGCCAATTCGTGCACTTACATTATTTAATTTAAATTTTGTTTAAATGCGAAATTCTATTAGTTATATAAATTAATTATTGCTTTGAATAAGTGTTATTTCTATTATTAATATTTTGAAAACATACATCTTTGAAATTCATAGAATATTGTGTATAAGTTCGAGGTGGTTGTAATTTTAAGCGTGTTGGATTATTAGGCAATCCTATATTATTTGTTTTAATTCTTTGTGTTTTAATAATATAATATTATTAAGTGAAATCTTGATGTTGCTTATAAATAAATTCTTGTTAAAACCGAGTTTATTGAGATGTGGCAACGTGGTAGCGAGCCCCACCAAATCCAGGGAATCATATGATCAATTGTCGTTCCTTCAGAATCACAAGATTTTCTGTCCTACATTCATTCGACGTTTCCTAGGCGTTGTCGAGTAGAAAATCTCAATTTTAGTTTTCATCTGCTGTCCGTGCATTTCGCCCAACTGCAGCCATGGCTTTAAGCGACTCCGATGTTCAGAAACAGGTAAAACCTATCAGAATCCCATTTACTATTTTTACTACAAGCACTTACAACATATTTACCTGTTTCTTTCTGACCCAATCATGTTTTATCTTGTACACCTATTAACTCTATGTGTATGCATTGATGTTTATAACAGATCAAGCACATGATGGCTTTCATTGAGCAAGAGGCCAATGAAAAAGCTGAGGAAATTGATGCCAAAGCTGAGGAGGAGTTCAACATTGAAAAGGGACGTTTGGTCCAGCAACAGAGGTTGAAGATCATGGAATACTATGAGAAGAGGGAGAAGCAAGTGGAGCTTCAAAAGAAAATGTATGTTCTTAAAAATTTCTAATAAGAATATGTATATTGTTAGGGGGATGCATTCAAGTTTTTCTTTACATTGAAAACTAAACAAAATTGTCTTTATGATGCAGTCAATCCTCCAACATGTTGAACCAAGCCCGTTTGAAGGTGCTCAAGGTACGTGAGGATCATGTTCGCAATGTCCTTGATGAGGCCCGCAAGCGTCTTGGCCAGGTCACCAGCAACCATTCCAAGTACCAAGAAATCATCAAGACTTTGATCCTCCAAGGCCTCTACCAAGTATGTATCAAATTAACACACAGCTGCAAACACAAAGCGTGTCATGTGACTTGGTATAATTACTGGTGTTTATGTAACTGATGCTTTGACCAATTGCGTTATGACAGCTCTTCGAGACCAACGTGCTCGTCAGGTGCAGGGCTCAGGACAAGGACTTGGTTGAAGGTTGTTTTGATGATGTCGCGAGTCTGTACAAGACCGCCGTCGGCAAGGAAGTCAACCTGAAGATCGACACCGAGAATCCGCTCGGCGCCAACACCACCGGAGGCATCGAATTGCTCGCACAGCGTGGAAAGATCAAGATCGACAACACTTTGGAAGCCCGTCTGGAACTGATCGCCCAGCAGCTGGTGCCCGAAATCCGTACCGCCCTCTTCGGACGTAACGTCAACCGCAAATTCACCGATTAAAGTATTTAATATTTAAATCTTTAACACAGACAGTTCAATAATTATAATTATGCAGACATCATAATTCTCTCCTGTGTATATTGTATTTGTAAATATCAGTTTTGTTGTTGTTGAAAAAAAAAATATGATGATGAAAGTAATAACTGTTGTACATGCTATGTACTAATTTAATTCCAATTCCATTATTCTTAGTCGTTTAGGATTTGCCTAGTTTTTAAGTGAACGTTACAAAAAAAAAACAAACACGTACTAGATACACTTTTGGTTAGTAGCAATCAAATTCACTGTATTTTCGTTTAGGTGGCGGTGAAATTCACCGCCCCCACAGAAACGAATGCTATCCATATTGTATGTAAAATAAATATATTTAAAACCAGACCACAGCTTACTTATTTTATTATCCCTATAATTAGTATGCATTAAATATGTGTCGAAATATAAATAATTTGGTTAAAATCCATTAGAATTCCACTTTGAAACTTTATTAGAAATGCAAACATAAGTTTTATTATATAAGAGTTTTATTTGAACGTCGCAATAATGACATATGAATAATATTTTTGACAACATTCCCGCCTTTTCCTAATACTCTAAACAATTTTTGCAAAATCTTATCAGAATGCTTTAATTATTTATTTAGAGAAGATTCTAAAATTTGTGAAACGCAGACTATTAAAAAAATATTTACTTAAATTAGCAAATAATTACCATTATAATGGATATTTGAGGACTTAATGAATATTATTGAATATGTACTCTACTTTCAGTTTTATTGCTTAAATATATCAAAGAACATTCGTTTTTGCAGGTAATCCTAATAATATTCTCACTGAATCCCCATAATTTGCAAGTGTGTAATCACTTTCACCTGAAAAAAAAGTTTAATAATTTACTATTATTATAAATTTGATAAAAATATATTAACCTTCATTCATGAAATTAATAACTGCATTTGCATACTGTTTGCTCTCAGCAATATCTTCACTATTCTTTCCAAAGAGTTTCTCCACAGATTTCTTGGATTCATTATTTTCCCAGATGTACTTCTCCATGTCTGCTTCAGTTTTCAACTCCTCCCAGGCTTCAACATTCTAAAAGGAATCAAATAAGAATTAGTATTTAATGATTTAAGATATCTTCATTAACAGCTTACCCAGGATTCATGGTACAAGGCAGTGACTAAATACATGGCATAATCATAATTCTGTTTCTGTGTGGGGCATCTATCAGTCACAATTGTAACATATCCAGTTTCACTGTTGTATCTGTCTCCAACGAGTCTCAAATATTTGTCCCTGGATTTCTCATCGAATTTCAAGTCATTCAGCTTGAATTTAATTGTAACTATTCTAGCCATTGGATCCCTAATTGAAGGTGAAGAATGACAATAGTTGGAAGAAATCACTTCAAAAGGGAAATGCTTCTCACATAGCTCATCATTGGACAGAGCTTTTGGCCAAGGTGTGCAGAACTTCTTCAGAGCTGCACATTGTCTTTCAATAACTGGTGGTGTGAGATGAAGGAAATTGGGGATCTTCATAAGCTCAGCATTGGCATACTTGTCTGGTGGTGATCCCTTGCTGACATATCCTTGGCGCAGAGGCAAGGGTACAGTGGCTGGATGGAATGTGCGTGGTCCAGGCCACACATTTCCCCAATTCTGATCGACAGGCATCTCATTGCTTCTGGGTGGTAACACCTCAGGCTTTTGGTACTTCTTCTTGGTGAATGCTTGAGCCTTTGATGTCTTCAAATACAACACACGAAATTCACCTGCAAATCACCTGTTTATTACAAGTGGAACGATGGAATTTATGTTATGATTACCGATATCTTCTTCGATATTCGGTTTATTCGAATAGTAAGCAGCCGCCCGCTTCGGCAATTGTTTAACAACATTTTTATCTAAGATTCTTGTTATTACGGACATCTTTCCTAATAATTATTAATACATTATCTAATTGGAGGTTAGGTCGTGGAGTTGACAATTCCGATGTGAAGTTGCCTTCAAATCGATTCAAATTTCGTCCAACTTGTAGCTTTATTTTATACATTTGTTATTGATCAGGATTTGGGAATAGGGTTGTAGGTACAGTGTATATAGGTTTAGGTATTTAGATGGGGTTGAAACATCCAAGATTGTGATGTATTAGGATCGGTGTGAAGTTCGATGCGTGTTGACAGATGACAGCGACGTTTGGTCAACACATTAGAAATTCGTAAAATTTATGTCGCATTAAGTAAAGAGAGAAAGCGGCTATTTTTTAACAATTCTAAGAGCATAGACAAAGCAAAGGAAAAATACGTAGTAGCAGATAGATTTCCTAATCTAAATATGATAAAGTTATTCTCGTTGAAGCAACAGAAGAAGGATGGTGAATCATCGCCAAGACCTGGTAATCAGAAAAAGCCATCAGCTGCACAATTGAGAATAACTAAAGGTAATTGAGATCAAAACAACTTATCTCCTTTTTTAGCAAAATCAATTCGTCCCATCGCGAATTCGTCGATTCCAGCAGGTCACGAATCGACAGTATGCGTCGCTTCCATCGAATTACAATTAATTTATTCCGTTTTCTATGTCTTCAGATATAAACGAATTAAATCTACCGAAAACATGTTCCACCGAATTCCCCGATCCGGACGACTTGCTCACATTCAAACTGATCATATGTCCAGACGAAGGCTTCTACCGGACCGGACGATTCGTGTTCAGTTTCAAAGTGGGTCCCAACTACCCACACGAGCCACCTAAAGTCAAATGTGAAACACAAGTGTACCATCCAAACATAGATCAGCAAGGCAATGTATGCCTGAACATCCTCCGTGAAGACTGGAAACCAGTGCTCACCATCAACAGCATTGTGTATGGCCTTCAGTATCTGTTCCTGGAGCCCAACGCTGAGGATCCATTGAACAAGGAAGCAGCTGAAGTTCTGACGAACAACCGACGTCTGTTCGAGCAAAATGTGCAGAAGGCCATGCGAGGTGGTCAAGTGGGAGGGTTGTACTTTGAAAGATGTCTTAAGTGATTTTTACTGCTGTGTTATGGACTAAATTTTCAAGTACAATGTAAGCGAAAACTCTGCTAAACTATTAAATGATAATTATAATAATAATAAAACTTTCCTCATTCGGTTCTTATGATTCAGATTCAAAAAAAAAAATAGCAGGGGGCGGGGAGAGCTTAAGAGTTATATCTAGAGTGTACATCCCCTGGATTCCAAAAATTAGCCTCAAATGTTTTTTAAGTAAACAAAAGTAATGTAATAATTTCGTTTAATTTATATATGAATCTATACTATAAATATATATAACTGTTAGTTGAGGTAGAGGTTTTTTTTTGGAATACCCAAATAAATATTTATTTAAAATAAATTTACTTTTGCAATTATTTTCTTTGTTCAATTTTTTTTAAATTTTATTTTCACCCACCCCTGATGAATATAACACAAGAAAAGCAAAATGTGAGAAAATTGTTAACAATTTTTTTTTCTCTTGTATAAATCAAAAATATAGTAATAATAAAAATTGTTACACTATTTTTTTTTTCTTAATAAAATATATTGATATAATAAATGAATCTTTAATATAATTGTGTTTTTCTTTCTTCTACTCACCTTAATTCACTTTATTGAAAATTAGATTTTGTTTTCTTAATTTTAATTGAATCTTTTTTTTATTGTTGTAAATGATCAAATGAAATAATGAAGAAAGAAAGAAATGCAATAATAATTTATTTATGCAAAATAAAATTTTAAGAGAGAAATTAACTATGTATAAAAATAGGTAATAATAATAACAGAACAATTACAAATAATCTCACATAAGTGCTCTCTACTCATTACTCCTGTAATAATTATATATATATATTAAAAAAAAAATGAAATAATAAAGATACAAAGTCGATCAACGCTGCCATTTATTTATTATGTATTGTTTTTCGTTGAAGTGTCGAGAAAGGGATAGCATGTCTTTTAGTCTCTCTTTAAAACGAAAGAAGTGAACAAAAAAAGAATGAGAGTTCGAAATGAAACGGAAAATAAAATAAAGGCACTTACTAAATCCTTTTTTTTTCTTGTTTCTTTTGAATTGATCGTCATATTATTAATATACCAACAATTAATATTAACTCGTCCGTCCTCATGGGAACCACGTTCTATATATTCTTTATAAATATATATAATAAAGTAGATTAAATCTGTACAATAAGAAAATTAGCACGAGCAACTGTTTAACAGTCAATTTGTTTTTTTTTTCTCAGACACTAAACAATTCTGTAATAGAGTTAAGCCGTTTTTATATGTATGTATACAAACACGTATGCTTTGTGTATGTATATATACGAGTTTAAAAAAAAAACAAAAGACGTTAAGACACGAAACTAATGAAGATAATAAAGGGGGGGGGATATATGAAGACAATTCAATCAAGAAATGAACAAAACAATATTTGCGTCGGATCTCACGGAATTTGCTTTCACGAGCCCAGCGAAGCGTTACCAAAATTAAACGTACTCGGAACTGCTTGTTGAGTGAACGAATAACCTGTAACAAATAGAAAAAAATAATAATGAATAAACAGTACAATCTCTCTTTTTTTTCTACACATTCTCACGTAGTACGCATCGATTCACGAAAATGCTGCATCATCAACTTCATTAAAAATAGATTATCTTATATATATATAGAGTTTATGATTCATCATATCAAAAATATAAGAAAATCTTATTATGAATAAGTATCAATGTGTATAATATAAATTGTGGTATTTTACCTCCTTGCTGTTCAATTTTTTTGCTTTCGCGTGCCGCGCGCCTTTGATCTGCCAAAACAGCAATCTCCATGAGAGATTTCCTTTCGACGTCGGTCAAGTTCCTCGTCAAAGCGCTGTACCACTCGGCCTCGGTACTCTCCAATCTGGTCATGACCTCCTTGAATGTGATGTACTCGTCTACGTCGCAGTTCTCCTCGTCAATGGGCGTTGTGTATGCCTCCAAAACCATCTCTTCGTTGGCATCGTAATCGGAATCATCGTCAGAGTCATCGTCGACGATAGTCGAATTGATTTCAAAGCCTAAAGAACAAAATTTTAAATTAAAAAAAAATATTCATACGAGAGGTTAGAGGAGAAAGGTGCAGTAGTACCTTGAATGGCGCCAGAGTTTATGGTTCTGCGGGACAATGACTCCAAATACTCTTGGCCTTGTTCATCGATGTCGTCTTCGTCGGAACTCAAGGCCTCCTCGAGATCACCTTCGTCGGAATCACTCTCCTCCTCCTCGACCTGCTCTTGGGCGCGAGAAGCATAGGCTCGTTTCAATCCTTCGAAGAGTAAAACAAGGGCGGGCATAACTTTCGGAGCGAGCTCCTGCAATACCGCTGGTTTGGTGGGCAAGCTGATCAGAGTGCAAATGCCCAGCACGCACAGTTTACGGTCGTGGATTCCCAAGAAGCAATCCGTATCGTGTATCCATTGCTTGATGAAATGCGAGGTAAAATTAGGTAATTTTTCTAAGATGGAGAAGAGCAATTGCGGGCTGTAATAGAGAGCTGCAATCAGAACCTAGAACAAAATACATTTTAATGTAAAATCCTATCAACGCTGCGCTGTCTCTCGTCTAATTACTTGTAAGCACATAGTTCTGAGTTCGCTGGTTTTAACTTCTCGCAATAATCTAGATGCGGCTAGTTCAACTAAAAGCGGAGCGGCTCCATCGATTCTACCTCTGCATTGCAGCAAGACAACTTCTAATAGTTTAGCAGCATGGCACTCAGGGTCTTCACCGGATTCCCGATTCAAGACCTCCTTGCACATGTTGTAAATAGCCAGAAGACGTTGTTCGTTCGCCAAAAAACCATTTGTGTCAACTGTAATGTAATTGTGAAGCGCGGGCATCATATCCGTGAAGTGTTCAAGACCATTTTTAATAAATACCTGTAAATTAATATGGATTTAATACAATACATCATCGAAAATAAAATTACTATAAATATTACTTGATATAATAATTCAAATATTTTCCACATATCTTCGGATACATGCTTGCTGGTGCAATCATATACCAAGGATAAAGCTTCCTCGTAAAATTCTTGCACTTCGTGCTGAAACACGTGTCCAACCACTTGCAATATGGTAGGTTCCAATAAACGCATAACTTCCGGTTGTTCTTCCATAACAGTCAACAAAGTTTCAATGGTGTTCAATAATCCCATAGCGGTTATTGCCTTCTCGTCAGATCCTTCATCGGTATCCAAAACCTATCATAATAAAAACATGATGTAGAAACTGGTTATAATTAATGTATAGCTGTTTCTATCTTACTTGGCTGAAGGTTGTCGCCAAATGTTGACAAATATCAACAGCAATTGGTGCCAATTGCTGTGTGTAAATGCAGACGAGTTTCTGCATAACACCTGTAACATCTTCATTCTCAGTTTCACGAATGATCGTCAATAATTCCAGCGCAATTCGCTTCACCTCCGGCTCGATGTACTTGTGAGCCCTTTCCTGGTAATTAATCATACTCTGGAGAGCGATAGCGGCCTCTACCTTCACCTGTAAATATTTACAGAGCATTAATAAACTGGAAATGTTTACGAAATCACTTCACTTCATACCGGCAATTCCTTGTCTTGCAATAAAGATGCAACAGTGAGCCTAGCGGCTTCCACGAGAATCTCTTCCTGCTTGAACGGAGCGTCAGCAAAATAATGCAAAACCCAACAAGCTCTTGCTCTCATGTGACCACGGCAGCTGACGAATTCAGGGAATACGTATTTGAGGAAGAACTGATCGAGCTGATCCCTGTACATCTTTTTCCTGAGCAATACATCAGCCAACGATCCAACCATGTGCAAAGCGCCGTCCTTCTTCGACGGCTCAACGGTAGGATCGTTTAGGATGGTGGTTATGAAGCCCATTGTCTTCTGCAGCATTTCCTTACGTTTCTTACAAGCAGAATGTAAGAGGGTCTGTGCTGCGGTCACCGGCGAGACGAAGTCTTCGAAGACATCGAATTTGACGCGAATGTATTCATGCGGATCGACGGTCCAAAGCTCCTCGTCTTCAGCTGAATAGGACATGAGCGGGAACAGGACGTCTTGGATGACAGCACCCATGTGTGGTTTCATGAGCTTCCATGTGTGAGCATGAGATACAGCCTGGTTGACGTAGTGGAGCGTCTGCTGGAGAACGCGTGGTGGCTGCCAATTGCCACCCCTGTATGCATCGAGAAGTCGCAAAAGGACTTCCAAAATGCCAGTTGAGAAAGTCTGGAGATACCACTCAGCGAAATCGTTGTATTCCTTATTAACATTGCCCGGTGATCCGTAACGTTCGAACATACGATGCAAAATATGCAATGACCATTTCTTGCATTTCCACCATGATAAATCTGGACGATCGTCCTCGTCTGGTTGCATAGCGGCGGGAGGTACTGGTCTATCTGCCACTTGTCTAAAACGAATGAAGGTCAACCAATTAAATTTTAATGATTAATTATTTTTTTTGTTTAAACATGAGCAGCATCTTTTGTGTAAATTGTTTCTATATTAGAAATAGAAAAACTAATTTTACAAAATTTTTATTACTTTCCGTATCCCGTTAAACTTGATTGTAATTGCTATTTTGTATAGTCTACTGAAATTTAATAAAAATAATATTTGGCAAAATTGATACTTGCGCATTTAAATCCATTATAGTTTTGAATTTTAACAAAATATAAATAAAATAAATATTCGATTCGTAATAATTTTAAAAATATCTATATAATTAAAGGAAAAAGCAAGATTTAACTTTGTATCAGATCGTTTCAAAAAAATGCTTACATTTGCCGAAGTGTAAATAAACTGAAAGTCCTAATTTTAGAAGAATGAACAAAGTGTACAAAGTACAGCCAGGTTATATATATATAACGCTGTAGCATTTGTTACATATTTACCTGCAAATTTCCATCCATTGTGCAAATGCCTCCTTGCTAATCAAATCCAAAGGCAATGTGTATTGTGTGAGAGCAAAGTATACTTTCAATGACTCCTTTTGCAGAAGAACAGCCTGCTCAGAAGGATCAGGTAAAAGACGTATTACCAACTGGTACAATAGTGGCAACAAAAGGTTCATTGCCTCATGCAGGGGGCCCCTTTCCTCAGATTTTTTGTATTCAAAATTTTTAACTAACTGGTACAAGGCCAGAATAGCGCCATGCCATCCACTGGTTTCAGGGCTAGACAGATATATGCTAATCTAAAAATAGTTCAAGTGCTGTTACATTTTTTTTTTCTTTTCTATACTCTGCTCAAATTATACCTTATCAACAATTTGAGTCCAGCGGCCTGGAAAATCATGCTTGATAATAATGTTAATGCAGGTGCAGAGCTGTAAACGAATAAGTTCAGGAGCATGTACAACTGCATCAACAATAGCATCCCTGATCAGTGCCCTGTCTTGCTCATGCAAGGCAAATGGGATAGGAGCACCGGGTTGGTCAGGTTCCTTCTCAGCCCAATTCTGGGAAACCAGATTCTTGAGGTAAATGGCTCCCGCCTGCCTGATAGGCATGTCACATTCATTGGCCATAACAACCTGCAGCAATGCTGGCGCAAATCCAATGATCTTGTGGATCTGAAAATATTTGTAAAACACACATAAAAGATAATCATATCCTGTATGTACGATGGAATGCACATTTTTATCAGCCAATTAAGGTTTGCAGGTTAAGTGTTAATAATAATACATGAGTTTGGTGATAAAGACTGAGTGATATGGATAACATTGCAGACAGCTGTTACATGTTGGGAGAAAGAGAACATAATTTGACCCCAACTGCAAGTGAGCGTGTGTATTTTTACACACACAACGTCTGCAAAGCATGACAATGTGCTTAATTTGTTGGTTAAATGATCACATTTCAGGCTATCTGAGTCATACGAATTTAAAGCGCGATGGCAATTTCATCCGATTTCCGGGCATGTCTCGCGTGATACATTCACGCAGCATCACCATCGACAATTGTTGTACAAGTAAAACATGCTCTTATTACGGTGAAAAAAGAAAAAATAACTAGAAGAAAGGAACGAGAAGAAGGCGGAAAAACGTGTATACGACCGAGGCCGGGACCAACGCGTGCATATGTGAATATGGTCATGGCACGTGTGGTTGATTGGTTGGATTGGATTGTATGGTTGATGTTTCAAATACCTGGCCAAGTTGTTCCTCTGCCTGTTGCCTTTGGCTTGGGTCAATGGTCGCCCTAAGCAGATCAATTAATTTTCTCGTTTCCATTTTCTGAACGTGTCCGTGCGGCCTCCCTTGATACTTGCAAACGGTACTGGAAATTTGTTGCTGGTCCAGAGAGAAAGATCAAAAAGTTTCAAAAAAAAATTGAACTTATTTTGCTCTGAACTTGAGCCCGCACACTGGCGCACTATAACCACACTACACAACGCGCGAGGTTCACGCACGCATCTGTCAAAAACGTTCAGTCGCCGCCGCTTTCGGTTTTGACAGACGCCCGGAAACGAAAACAAAAATTTCACAAAAAAAAAACAACAAATTTCCGTTACCTGCGTCGCCGCCAACTCAATAATTACAAACAACAATTATTCATTCTTCCAAAATGATTTTTTTTATTATATTCTTCAACTTAAGCTGGACTTTGCTCCAATTTACACATTTACCTTACTCTGCAACTTCACATCGTACATTTAAATTTAATGCAATTTACATCGATTCATGAAATCCATTAATTTTATGCCACTATCCTTTACAATATTTTATTCTTATAATTTATTACAACAACATTTTGTTATAAATTTGTTGATCCAATAAATATTATTGATATTATTATTAATATATTAGACTTTTTTGTATAAAATGTATACAAATAAGTCTAAATCATATTTGCAAAAAAATGATTATAACTTAAGTAATAGAAATTCATCATGTAATGTATATCATACATGAATAAAGGAGATTTCTCCTTTGCTTAAATAAAAATCTTTTTCTGCATATAGTGACGTTCACCATTGTTGATATAACATGTTAAAACATCTTATCTTATCTATGATGTTTTCTTACGGTCATTTAGTAAATAAAAATTAGATTAATCAAAAGTTATAAATATAGTTTTATATAAACATTATCTCATTTACAATTCATCTAGTATGAATTACATAAACTTTCTTTTATTTTGCAACATGTAGGATAATTTATATACAAAATAAATATTATTTAAGTAGGCTTGTTTATATAGTTATATATGAACTATGTGATATTATTATTATTTTTTATTATATATTTATTTATATCAATTATTGTTGATTTCTACCCGCACAACTTTTTGTTGGTTTTTGAGAATCGAAACTTTTTAAATTAGAATATAGTACAAAAGTTGGTACACCTACCAGAAGTAGTTGCAAACATTGTCAAATATGAAAAAGAAAAGTCTCTTTATGTTAACTTTATACTAATGGTATGTATATAAAGAATATGTATTAAGTATTTTGAAATTTAAAACCAAAAGTAAAATGATGTGATTTGTTATTTTGAATTGTCATGAAAGAATTGTTGGCAGTTTGTTTAGTGTTGGTATAGCTGATTTAAAAAAAAAAGAATAACGTGTGTTTTAAACAAATGTGACAAAAGTTAATTGATGATTGTTGACAAGATGCAGGTGCAGGCTGAGAAAGAAATTGTTTTGAATATAGCGGAAGAGGCTGTGATAGAGAGCGAAGACCGAGCCAAGTCCGAGGTGTCCGAGGAGGAGGATGTGCACTTCCACGACGTGAAGTTACTGCTTCAGGAAGGCGTTCACGAGGATGACGTGAAGAGACTGAAGAATGCCGGTATCAATACCGTGAAGGGTGTACTGATGACCATCCGGAAGAATATTCTGGCGCTGGGCATAGATGAGACGAAGCTCTCGCACATCTACGAGGTGTGCGCTAAGATCGACATGAACAACATCTTCATAACTGCGGCCGAGGTAGCCGAGCTGCGGAACAAGATCTTCAAATTGAGCACCGGAAGTAAACGGCTCGAGTAAGCCATCAAGCCGCCACCTGTTGCGTCGTTAACGATTGTTTCATTGTTCACAGCCAACTGCTTGGGGGTGGCATCGAAGCTATGTCCATAACTGAGGTGTTCGGCGAGTTCGGAAGCGGCAAAAGCCAATTGGCACATACCCTTTGCGTGACCACACAAATGCCCGGACCCAATTCCTACCTTGGAGGAAAAGTCATATTTGTTGACACAGAACACACATTGTATCCTTCAAGTATCTAAAGTACTCTGCAAATATTTTGATTAACTTAGCAAACACCGACTTATTGTTGTTAACTAAATTCTATAATGTTAAATCAAATTGTACCCTTAATAATATTTAGTCGTCCAGATAGAATACGAATGATTGCTGATCGCTTCAACCTGAATCAAGCTACAGTATTGGATAATATACTGTACGCGCGGGCGTACAACTCCGAACACCAATGGGAATTGCTGAATCACATCGGAGAGAAGTTACACGAAGACCCAGGCCTCTATAAATTGCTGATAATAGACTCCATCATGGCTTTATTCCGTGTGGACTTTAGCGGTTTGGGCGAAATAACCGATCGCCAGAAGAAACTAGGTCAAATGATGTCAAGGTATTGAGACTATAAAAGATTCTTGAAAATAATCAAAGTAACCATCGTAATACCGAACATTCAGCAATTAAACGATTTATCGATTCCTATACGCGCAGCGCATCTCGATGATATACTTACATAAACTATTTTCTGTTTCAAGGTTGCAGAAAATGAGCGAAGAGTTTAATATAGCCGTGTTCATCACGAACCAAATTAGCTCGGATATCAGAATAAATGATATGGATAGGGCCACCTATAAGCCCATCGGAGGAAACATCCTCGCTCACGCTTCAACTAATAGAATTTTTTTTCAAAAAGGCCAAGGACCGTTAAGAAAAGCGATGGTCTTTTCCAGCACCGATTTGGAGGAATCCGAAGAGGAATTTATCATCACCGCCGGCGGTGTGGACGATGCATATTCATAGGCGAGTATATTATTTGGAACAGACAAATCCATTTTGAGACTCGTAAAATATTAATAAGTTTAAAAATTATCGTGTTTATTTCGTTTGACTTTTCCATTTAAGTTTCATTTATTATTTTGCCTTTGTTCATTGCGCCAAAAAAGTTAATATTTATCAATAACAGTAAGTTGTTAATAAATATATAATAATTTTAAATTTCAATTTGAGCAATCTTTTGTTTCATTTTTTTTATCATCGGGCTACTATTGTTATGATTTATTATAGGTTATAGATAAACTGTTTTTATTGGTATTAAATAAAACAATACGTTACATTAATTTCCTATCGAATCTATAAAGAAATCTATTGTTATTTTGATCTATGAATTCACAATCTATTTTTTATTTACTTCATTGTCTAACGGCTAAATCCAATGATAATTGATTAAATTGTTGAAAACATCGTTTGAAAATAAGTTATTATTTGTTATTACTCAATAATTTCGGGACTTTCCAATTCATAAATAATTGTAATCTCTACATGATTCAAAATTCATTCAGTTATTTACTAGATAGGGAAATTATTTGAATGAATTTTGAATCATGTAGAGATTACAATTATATTCACTAAATATTTATTGGAAATATATTATAAACATAAGTAAATCTATAGTTTTCAGTTTTCACACTTGAATTTCAAAAAACGTTACTTTTGTATATTTAATACTATTCACATATAGAACATTAATGCACATTAACTTTATTACCAATTAGAAATATAAAACCTAACTTGCGAAGGGAATTATTGAATATTAAGCATATTTTAGCTTAATTAAAAAATGTTTTCTGTTTACATCAAACAACCTTTGTTTTTTTTATTTGAAATTAAAGAATATTTAATGCATGATGGATACAGAGAGATACTCAATATGATAATGTTCAACATGAACGAATTGAGATCAAGTTGCAGTTGTTGAATATTATTTGTTCCTAAAGCCTGTTCGTAAACCGAAACCTTTTTTTTTATACTTATATGAATGTATTAAAGAAAGATTGAGAGTATTAAATAATTTTGTAGAATAGAAATTTAATCTTATAAGAACGGTATAGGTATAATTATACTATATAATACTTTGGTGTTATTTGAATTGCCTATAGAATCGTATAGTATAGAGGTAGTACGTAACGATTTTTTGAATTATTGACGTGCTACCAGGTAACTAATGAATATAGTTTACAGTAGTTATTTTATCGCGAATATTGATCTTGCAGACAATGAAATTGTGTGAGTCACAGCACTTGTAAATGTGTATCAAATGATCGAGTGGTCTGGTGATTTGATGGATGTGGAGGATGATGTACGTTCAATACCTAGAGAAGGATAGACAACAAAATAACGATCCTATTGAAATAAAAGGAAAATATATGAAAACAATACAAAATATGCCCTCCTCTCCATGAATCGTATCTGCTAGAACAGCTTTGCCATGTATGCGTGCGTCCTCACGGTGGTGGGGCTGTTATTCCGTCAGATCCTAGTGAATCTAGAGACATAAAAACAGTTCGACGCAGGTCTGCGTAGTGTCAGTTTGACGGGTGGCCTTCACTCTGAGAAAGGGTTAAACCCACTGATTTGAATTCTTAAGTTCGATCAAGTAGATTTTAAATTTATTTTTAAGAAGTAAATTCGTTGTTTTTAATCGTGCGAATCAGCGACACAATGAGTGCAACCAACGGGGATAGCAGCAGCGGCACGGTCAGGGTTTGGTGCGATGGATGGTAAGCAGCAAAACTAACCTACAAAACGATTTGTGCCGAAACAATAAACAGGAGACGACGTACAGGGTCTGCCCTGATGAGAATTGCGTGGGTTCGAGCAGAAGGAGACACCCTACGTCCTCACGCGATTTCCGACACCCTCCGGCACTCGTTAATACGTTAATTAGGGCTTAAGTACTTTAAACAAAATACCTATTTACCTTAAATAATAGATGTTCTTTGTGGCCCTTCGAAGCCCTACACTGTTGTTCATAGTTTTGGACGAACAATCAGGAAGTCGTTCAGAATGTTTGTTTTAAAGGGAAACGGAAAACAAACTTATTGATTTCCTTGCGCATCGATTATTTAGGAGGGAAATTCTTATTAGACTTTAATTCGTTTCCTCAATGGAAATTATATGGATTTCTATGATAATTTTCTTCCTCAAATTCCATGAATGGAGTATATTAAAGCATGAATTATTGATAATGCCTACATTCCCATTAACAGGTGTCAAACCGTCATTTTTTTTTCTAATAAGACGTGAGATATAACTAAAACTTTTGAATGGAATATGCATAAATAATACAATATGACTAACAAATTTATTTTGCTCGCAGTTAAAAAAATATGATGTAATTCATAGCATCAAATATATTCTTGAATATAAGTATTCACGTCATTCAATCATGTCATTATGACAATCAAATAAGAATGAATACTGCATTTTTATCAATACTATTTATATATTATGACTAACTTTTAATCGAAAAGTTACTGCAAATTACGTAGTTTATTTTCTAAATTCAAATTTCAGTGCCATTGCCAAGGAGGAAACAATCGTTTTTCTTGATTCTGATTGGAAAATCACGACAAGTTCTCATGTAATGAAATACATCATATGCAACCAATTAGGATTTGCATGAATGCACAAACAAATCAAAGTGTTTGTTTTCTTTGTAACGGGATTAAATCAAAAGCTCATACATTATGACGTGTATTTCAGTGAAATGTTGTTATTCAGACATGAAAGAAAGACAGTGGAATCTCGCTTAACGAGTTTAATCCGTTCCAATATTTCGGGATGTTTACTCGTATAGTGAAAGATATTTCAAAATTCACTTTTTCTCGAGTCATTTTTCTTACAATTCATTTTGCTTGTTAAGCGAAATGCTCGTTATCCGAGATGGTCGTTAAGCGAGGTTCCATTGTATATTCAAAAGATGTAAAACAATTACATTTATTTATTTTCAGTAAATGATTAATGTTGGATAACAATGGACTTTTGCAAAGTGTCTGAATCAAATAATTGATTGATAAAAAAAAATAATTGGTTGCTTTAATAGTAATACTTAAAACACTATACATTATCTACGTTTCGATGATGTACTAAATGTAATATATTGTAGATAAATACGTGTTGATTATTGTTGAATGAATCGCGGAATTGATGCACATTAATAAAACAATTTCAAAAAAAAAAAAAATATGAAAGCTATGTAAATCGCCCTATCTATGACATATCCACGGGAAGCGAAACAATACAATAACGCAAACAATGCAGTGAACAGATAATCACTAAATGCACTATTGAAATATACACATATCTCCGTATTTTTTTAAAAATGAATTTTGAGTAATATAATATTGGCAAATAACGTGAAAATGCTTTTGTTTGTTCCGGTGATAATTGCGTTAAGCAATCTGGATGGAAACGTTATTCAGTTAATATTTACTTGCTTTGTTAACAGGTTTTCGAGTAATCGCGGGAAATGTGCAGATGTGGTATGTTCGCTAGTTTAATTTGCGATGCGCATACCGTAAAGAGTAGATACGTTGCGGTTTAGTTAAATTTTAGTCTGAATGTTAAATTCTAGTTAAATTAAGGTGATCTGTTATTTTTGGTCATCTTGCAGAAAATCACGGACTATACGCATCTAAACTTGATTGACTTGTAGGCTGTCAAAAATCAAGTTGATGTACTATACGCAAAGAACATTGATTAACTTTTGACAAAAATCAAGTTGATGGATTATACGCATCAAATGGTGATTAACTTTTGTAGGCTGTCAAATATCAAGTTGATAGACTATACGCAACAAGACTTGATTAACTTTTGTCAAAAATCAAGTTGATGGATTATAAGTATCAAATATAGATTAACTTTTGTAGGCTGTCAAATATCAAGTTGATGGACTATACTGAATGAACTTGAAAAAATTAAGTTTATGGACTATACGCAACGAACCTTGATTAACTTTTGTCAAAAATCAAGTTGATGGATTATATGCATCAAATATTGATTAACTTTTGTAGGCTGTCAAATATCAAGTTGATGGACTATACTGAACGAACTTTGATTAACTTTTAGAATCTGTCAAAAATTAAGTTTATGGACTATACGCAACGAACCTTGATTAACTTTTGTCAAAAATCAAGTTGATGGATTATATGCATCAAATATTGATTAACTTTTGTAGGCTGTCAAATAGCAAGTTGATGGACTATACTGAACGAACTTTGATTAACTTTTAGAATCTGTCAGAAATTAAGTTTATGGACTATACGCAACGAACCTTGATTAACTTTTGTCAAAAATCAAGTTGATGGATTATATGCATCAAATATTGATTAACTTTTGTAGGTTGTCAAAGATCAAGTTGATGGACTATACGCAACGAACCTTGATTAAATTTTATAAGCTGTCAAAAATCAATCACTTCTTTAAATAATAATTGAAAATTCGGTGATAAAACTATACGCACAAATAAACAATGTACAATTGTTTCCTTTGTTTACGACCCACGCGATTCGATTCAATCACATTATTTAATAACAGTTTTTAGATTTGATGTTGAATTTTTTTTTAGTCAAGGTTAAATTATTACTTAGCATTATTGTATACAAAAATATTGCCAAGTTTTGGGATCAAAGTTGTGTTTTTTTTTCTCTATCGTTATTGTAATATGAAAACAGTCGACGTAATCGAAGTCCATAAGATAAATATCTACACCAAAATTGTGTAATCACCAATTGAAACAATCCTATAAAAATATCAAATGAATGTATACATTTTATTGAATGATCTAAAAAATGATAATAAAGAATTACTATAAAAATTTAATTTAGTAATTCAGTGAGGAAATGTATGTTAGTAACATACAATTAATGTATAATGTATTTTTGATTTGATTGTTAAAAGTAGTAGTAATATTTTCTATAACTTTTACTATTTTCTTCTATTGGTTGGTCATTGAATCCTGTACATTTTGTTTCTGTCTAGTTACTAATTTTTACGTAATATTCAAAATATAATATCAAGATATCCACACTTACTTTAAATAATTATTTTAGCACTGAGAAAACTATAAATTAAATATTTAGTTTCTATGGTGACTTCCTTGTTCGAATCATTTTTTTATCATTCATGCTGACTATGCATATCATGTAATTATTTCGAAAAGAGCGTTCGTGTGCATTGTGAAATATATAATCATCATAGACTATTTCAGAATATTAAAACTATTATTTCTACTTTTCGCGTTTAAGTTTGGAAAGTTTTTCTAACTTGAATATGTAAATGTTTCAAATATAATATAAATTTAGATCAGTACAAAAGTCTTCTTGGACTTTGTTATTTGCGAATGTTTTCGAATTACTACTTAGATATTTTTCGAAACGAAGCGCAGTTTCGTTTTGTTGCGTTTTAATCTGAGCAGTCTAATTTTGCTTTATGTTCCGAATCCAATGTGTTTATGCAGTTATGTTTTTATCATTTGTGAAATGTTTAAGGTGTTATCAGAAATGCGCATAATGCTTGTGAAACAAGTGCTTACGCAAGTCAAGTAATTATTTAGAGTATGTGTTACCACATAAAACATTGTCCAATGACTAATCGATACTTGTAACGTAACGATTACTTGTACTTGCCAGCTAGTTTTCGTACAATATTAATAATTTACTTATTGCGTGTGCGACTTCACATGCTTTTCTTTTGTAGGCTGTGAACTTGAACTGTTCGCAACTAATTTATGTGCTTTGTTTCAGTTACGATATGGTTCATTTCGGACATGCAAACTCTCTGCGTCAGGCGAAGGCCCTCGGAGACAAGCTTATCGTGGGCATACACACGGACGAGGAGATCACCAAGCACAAAGGACCACCCGTCTTCACGCAGGAGGAGAGGTACAAGATGGTGCGCGGCATCAAGTGGGTGGACGAGGTGGTCGAAGGGGCACCCTACGTGACGACGCTGGAGACGCTCGACAAACACGACTGCGACTTCTGTTGCCATGGTGATGATATCACGATGACGGCCGACGGCGTCGACACATACCATCTGGTCAAAACTGCCGGCAGATACAAGTGAGTTTTCAATATTTGATACACATTAGCGCGAGTCTGTTTCCTCCATCCACCCATATCAGTTTCATTAGTCCGGTTGGAGTTTATTCACTTCACGAAATCAAGGGTTAGATAAATCTGTAGTGTCACGCGATTTTCAGCTATATTGTAACACTCGCAATATTGGAGGTCAACTGATTTCCGTAATTGTACACCTATATATACATCGAAAATGTTACCATGCCAACTAAAGTGTGAAGTAGCTTTAGAGGATGTTTGTAGTCTCCATGACTACCATAGCTACCATACCAAATCACTCGATATTCTTGTAATACTAACAGTTTATAAAAGATTTATTTTTCTATGAGTCGTACTATTTATTTGGCCACATAATTGGCAAACATCCACGATATATTTAAAATTATTACTAATTATTATAGCAAATGCAATTTCTTATATTTGATTCCATCTTTATTTATTGTGCGCAGACATTCTTATATACAAAGATAATTGAATAGTAACTAATACGTGACTAATTAGTAATTGATTTAAAAAAAAATTAATTAAAAATTAAATTTTAAGCAGAGACCTGAGTTATCCTGCAAAGTCCTCTGAACCAAATTAGGGCCTATACAAATTAGTAAATGAAATATTTATTATTTTCATAATATATTTATTTCTGTATATTACATATATATATTTGATGTAACAAAAAAAAGATTTGTTTTAAAACCCTTTTATCAAATTCAAAATATGAGTATGTATTTCTAAGAAAACTCGTTTCGTACATGATGAAATAATGAAATTACTAGTCGTATTCGCTTGATTTAACGATTCCATGAATAGTGTGACGAACAACGCAAGCAAGGAGAACTGTTATTGTTTAGAAAATTACAGGACTTCAATTTTTAATTAAGTCTGAGGAAGCGCGAACACTTCGATCGAAAACATCCGTTACAGAATTTGAAGCGCGGACGTAAATATTTGAATGCCGAGGGAAAACGTAAACGTTCTACTACATCCACCCTTTTCACTTCTATTCATTCCATTAATATTTCCTTCCTCCCGCGTCCGTCTCGCGTCTATAATTAATCTCTCTGCTGTTAAGTTTTTCTTCGCAGAGCAAATAGATTACATTTGAAGGATATGGACTGACGGATCTCGGACGCGCGCGTGCACATAGAAACATCGCGAATTCGCTGAGGCAGATAATTCTAGGTCGATAGCCTTTCGGATAAACGATCGCCTAATAAAATAAAAAATAAACAAATAAGTGGATTAGGCAAGAATGCGTAAAATTACACGATCGACTCTTTTTTTTCTTCAACTTGTTTTCACGAAAAACTAACGCGTCACTTACAACCTAAATTTCTACAATAATGCGTAGTATGTAGGGGTTTTGACATTGTAAATATACAGTTCGTCATAATAGTTCGTTATTTTGAATAGTACTTGTCCAAGTTGTCAAATATTTGTAAAACTGTGGAGTTCTAATGACAGTTTAATTATTAGCATTACGTCAAAATTGAAGTTATATTATATTTTAGTAAAATGTATTTCCTAATTCTGTGCGCAAATTACAAATAATAATTGTGAATGTTCACAATTTTTAACACATTAGAATTTGTGATGCATAATAATAATTTGTGGAAATTCGATGCAAAACTAACAAAAAACAGAGAAAAGGAAAGACTATTTTTTTTTGTTAATAACTAAATTATTTGATGGGAATGCAAAATATTCCACTAAACGGTTATTTAATGAGAGAATTTGTGTACAACAGTGATTGTTGTGCATGCGGCGAAATTGAAGATGATTGAGGTTTCATTGAGATTAATGATATCATCGAATGAAGTCAGCGGAATTTGAAAATAAAAAGAGTGTCGATTTTGCAAGGAAGGCAGCGAGTACTAGCACATATTGATTGGCTCATCCTGCAAATAGTCAAAGTCGACGATCCGTTTCGATTGCGAAACTTTGCAATTTTAGTTGAATCTCTTTTATTTTTTTCTCTCTTCGCGCTTGCTTTTGATTTCTTTTTGATGGTTTGTTAATATCATGGAAACTTTGGTTCGTTATCCGTTATCGCGCGCTGAATGAACATAGTATGATGACCAAACAAATTTCCACTCGTGTTTTCATTTCATTTACAAATGTATATAGTGTGAGCGCGACGTGGAGGAGTAGGAGGATTAAAAGTACGTCTACGTATGTGAGTTGCTCGTCCGCTATTGGCCGCAGTTTAGTCAGGCTACGAAGCCAAAGTCGCACACTCCAAAACCATCGAGTCGACCCGATTAACCCGTTAACCCCCTTATCTAAAGAACGCTCTTCTCTGTGTGTCTGTACTTTATTTTTTTAAATTTTCTATCTCGTAATCGTCGGATAGACTTATACCAAATAAAAAATCACACTTAATCAGCTCTAACCGGAATTCCAAAGAGATGCCATTGATCCACATCGTTTCGAATGGAAACGCATGATAATCTCTTGTACCCTAAGAAATTAAAAAACTACGCAATATCTTTGTTTGTCATAATAACCTGCGTTTAGCAATACTAGTATTGCTATCAGGACTGTCTTAAGATATTTGGCGCCCGTGGGTTTCTAAGAATAATGCGCCTCTCTTCATAAGAAAATACACGTGATGGGAAACAAAATTGCCGCCCTCATTTAGCCCTGTTGTTAAGATGGCCCTGATTGCTTCGTAGTCATAGAGATTACACACATTCTGTTCTCACAACTACTTGATCATTTACTTGACAAGTATCGCGTAGCGGGTACCGTTTGTTACTCTAATTATTTTAGTCTTTTTTTATTCATTTTAATGAATCATAATGTTCTTTAAATTAAAGTTATTCCCAATAATGTCTATACAATATCTTGAATTACAATGCTAGTTTTAATCATCACCAATTTAAAGATTTCTACCACATATTGTTCAAGTACAGAAAAAATATTTCTAAAACTGGTTTGGATTCTTTTCCTACATTCTTTTGTCTCGAATACCTGACATAATTTGGGTTCACTGAATAGAGTTACCACAAAATATCTAATTTATCAATATTTAAAATAGTTTCGTTTATATTTTCAAGGTTTTTTTTCTTCATTTTTTTGTTTTTAAATACTTTAGAATTACAATTGTACAGATTGAACACAGTCAATATAAATATGAAAATGATATGAAAGTAAGACTTTTAATGTCATGAAAACGACGAAGATTTTTGTTCAAATACAAAAATAATTAATGATTGAACTTGAAAAAGTGTTTTTTTCTTCTTTAATTAAAAAAATAACCAACATCTATTTATGGTTTGCTTACTTCCTGGTTCGTGGAAAGATAATTTCATTTTTTTTTTGTCTAATGAAAACAAAAATTGTAGTTGCAAGAGTTCTCGATCTAGATTCGAGTTGTAAATAATTTTACGTAATTCATTGAACCGTACAACTTGATTAATATAAACTGTTTATTACTTCTTTATATTTGGACTTGAATTTCAATGTATGATCTTTGGATTGTACGCTGTTGTATTTTCGTTGGAATTTAATACAAAAAAAATATATATAATACTTTGACCTTGTCTCCTGTTCGTAGGGATTCGCCGCAGATTAGCTCAGATGATGCCATCAAATAAGTGGAGGAAGGTTTCGAGATTATTCTTTTATTGCTTCACGTTTTTTTGATTAATCTTTAAAGAAAGAAATAATCAAATTATTTTTAACCTCGCACTGTTCATTGGTCACTTACGTGTTACATGATCTCTTACATTAAATTGTCTTTCATCTTTAAATTTCATTTAATTCTGTGCGATTTTGAAATGTCGTCCTTATATTAATCAAATTTAAATGAAATTGAGAAGTAAAAGAAACTATTGTACTAATACTAACAGTGGCTGTATTTTTTTCATTGTTACAAAGTAGAATCAAAGAAAACAGTTCCATGACAGGTGTTGCTTAACTTTCTTAACTTTAAAACACATAATCCGATGTAGTGTTTGAAATGATTATATAGAAATAATGCTAAATGTAATCAACAAGATTTGAATTTAGTGAAAAACATAAACAAATTGGAATTGAACTAATGAATGGAATAATTTAGGTATTATAATTATTGATTACGAAAGTTTATCAAACATACGAAATAATGTTTTCTTCGATTCTGACTTAATTTGTTTATACTTTCCTTAATAAATAATCTATTTTTCATTGATTGCACGAAACATCTTCATTGGGTAAACATAGAGAAAGCAATAAAGTTAAATTGAAATGATTAACTACATAGTGAGTGCACGTATAGTCAAATGCAATTAAGCTTCATTATCTCTATGGTGATTACGTATTGTTTATTATTACGTCACGTGACTACGATCGCAGTCATCCATGACATTGGAATTAATCATTTCGTTAATCTGAACGAGATGATCAAACATGAAAAAATGATAACAATACAAAAAAAAAATGATTTCGTTCATTTATTACGCGCAAAATTTACATTAATTGCGTTTTGAGATTTAGTCCCACTTTAATCATCAAGTTATTTCAAGAGAAACAAAAGATTTTCAATTATTACAGAAATACAAACGTAATTAATTAAATATTTAAACAAATAAATTTTATAGAAATTATTATAGAAATAAAAAATAAATTGTTTGCAAAGATTCAAAATTAACCTTGTAACAGAAATTATATACTAAAGAATCTCTGTAATGTTACTTTATGCGCAATTATATGAAAGAGAAGAAAAGTTTTTTGTTCTTCTTTTAAATGATTATCATTGAAGATTGTTTTTGTATTGTTACGTTCACTTCTTTTGTTTCTTTTCTTAGATCACTGTAATCTCATTGCACACTCTGATGTAATCCCATTATTGTTATTATTATTATTTTTTGCGTGCATAATGTTCACGTCGAGAAATCAACTACGCTTAAGCGTGTATTTATTTACTTGCGAAAAATACGACGTACTCTGGCAGATAGGACCGGGTTCCCGTGCCAAAAGATGAAGCGATGAAAAACTGGTAATTGCTTACCGTTTTTACTCGATTTTAAGTTGCAATTGCTGAAAAAGTAAATGACTTAATGAATGTAAATAAGCATAATCAAGTTTTACTACTAATGTTTTAGACCAGAGTTTCCCAAACTATGTTCCGCGAATAGTTAATAAGTGTTTTGTGAAATAATTGCTGAATTTTTATTTTCTCATTTTTTTTTTAAATCCTATCCTATCCTATAAAATGAACAAAGTGTTTCGAGAAAATTTCAGGATTTACGAAGTGTTCCATTGTATGAAAAGTTTGGGGTGCAGGGTTTATTAGACAATAACATTTTGAGGTAAAAATAGAAATTTCCTTAATATAATATGATTTTCTTGAGAATCCCATACATTTTTATTTTGGTAATTAAACTGAAAATACTTAATTTTGAGTGAAATTAACTGGTAAAAAATTTGTTGAAACTAAATTTTAATAATTGTTGGAGTTTTATGCTGAAAAAAGTAATGAAATTGTTATGATTTTGGACGTTTTTGAAGACTTTTAAAAGTAAATTAATGTAAATATAAAATAATAATAAAGTTAAACTACTAAAGTATTAGACATTAACATTATTTTTAATTTATAAACTATATTGAATTGATTTTGAGGTAAAAAATAGAAATTTCATTATTCATATTTTAATGATTTTCTTTCGGCGATAGAATCTATAGAAATTGTAAACTAAATAATATGTTTTTTTTTTCCACTGAAAATACTTAATTTTGAGTAAAATTAACTGGTTACAAATGTGTTGAAACTAAATTTTAATATGAATGTGATGAATAATTGTTTGAGTTCTATGCTGAAAACAGTAATGAATTTGTTATGACTTTGGACGTTTTTGGAAACTTTTAGAAAAACATCGTGCATTTTACATTAGAGCTGTTGATCCCTGCTCTCGTTTTTTTGTGTGTTAATTAGGATTCGACGTAGATAACCAGACGTGCCGCTTTATGGCGTTATGATTCACCGTTGAATCATGTAGAAAACTTTAGTAATTACCAAACCGAGTGCGCTTGTTGCACCGAAAAACGTAATTTGGCATATTTACCTATGGATTTCTTAAATGATAATTGTAGTTAATATGAAAACTTTCCTTCGGTTCTTACTATGTTTTTTTGTAAAGAAATAATAATCTGAAGCATTGTTATTACATTGATTATATTATACAGATAAGTCTCTTTTTGTGCGGTTTGGTTTCACACAGTCTCGCACTATGCGAGGCATTATTGTGTATTTAAAATGTTAAGTCAATTAATATACACACAAACTATTTAAATATGTAGTTTATTATTCATTTACTTTATCTTACAATTATTCTCTGTAAGTTTTCTTTATGTATTTACCTAGTTACAAAAGCTTATACAGTGGAACCTTGCTTAACGAGCATAATAAACTTCTAACGCGATACACAAAACTATCATATTTTCTTCGAATTCGATTTGCAGAAAACAAAAATCGAAATAATTAGTTTATTATTTATAACTCTTTTTAATTCTCTTTTGGCTATTTTCTTGCATCGTTTTCATTTTTGTAAGGGTTTTTAAACTTTGCACAAAAATTGATGTTCGTTAAGCGAGTCATTTTTGTATGAAAATTTCTTGAGACAATTAACTTAATTAAAGTGATAGTTTATTTAAGAAACTCTGCGTTAAATAAGGACTACGTCATCATTAGTCTTAGTTTAACGCAGAGTTTCTCTATGTATGACAAATATACATATTTTCATTGAATTTGAAGAAAAAGAAAATAACAAGATTTTATGATCATTCATAAATCTTTATTTATTTTCTTTAAAATACGGACATTAACTTACTGTTTGTATCAATATTATGCAAAGATGAATAAATAAGATAAATGAAAAATGAAGGCTTCATCCACATAACGTTATAAAGTAATTCTTAGTTTGTAAAATTACTTGTATTTGCTCAAGTACCTATATTTCAGTAACATTTATTCGTGTACTTGTAAAAATACTTGCATTTAAACAAGTATATATATCATTCAAGTTGGTCTATATGTTATTTTTTTAAATACAGTGTAACCTCGCTTAATCCGTTCTAAAATTACCGTATTTTTACTCGTATATAGTGAAATATATTCAAAAATACACAAGTTTTAAAAATGTTCTAGAAGGTGGCGCATCCGGGACTTCTCTTCTCATCGTCACTCGTTATGCGAAACGTTGCTCGTTAGGCGAGTCATTTTGCTTACAATTCAATTTGCTCGTTAAGTGAAATGCTCGTTATGCGAGGTGCTCGTTAAGGGAGGTTCCACTGTATTGATAAACAATTTTGACAATAAATAAATAGTCGATTACGTATGTGGTCACCTGTAACAATGATATTAAATCAATTTGCTTAATGAATTAATAAACATAAACACGAAAATTATATTAAATGATGTGTTTTTTTGCAGGGAAGTGCAGAGGACGGCTGGTGTATCTACGACAGACTTGGTTGGCAGGATGCTGCTGCTGACGAGGCAGCACTTCAAGCAGGGACCGTTCGAGTACAATGTTGCCAGAGAGCACTCTTCGACGATGGGTCAGGATTCGACGGCGAGATCCCCGTGGACGGGATGCTCTCAATTCCTTCCGACCACCCAGAAGATCATCCAGTTCTCCGACGGCAAATCCCCGCAGCCCGGCGACAAGGTGATCTACGTGGCCGGCGCCTACGACCTCTTCCACGTCGGCCACTTAGACTTCTTGGAGAGGGCCAAAAAGTTCGGGGATTACCTTATCGTCGGCCTGCACACGGATCCCGTCGTCAACAGGTACAAAGGCTCGAATTATCCCATCATGAATCTGCACGAGCGCGTCCTCAGCGTGTTGGCGTGCAAGTACGTGAACGAGGTAGTCATCGGCGCTCCCTACGCCGTCACCAAAGACCTGATGGAGCATTTCAACGTGGACCTGGTGATCCACGGAACGACGGCCGTCATGGAGGACGTGGACGGCAAAGATCCGTTCGCCCTACCCAAGCAGCAGGACAAATTCAAACTGGTCGATTCCGAGAACGATATGACAACGGAGAAGATCGTCGATCGGATCATCAGCAATCGCTTGGAGTACGAAGCCCGAAACCAGAAGAAGGAGAAGAAGGAGATGGACTTGTTGAAGTGCCTCAACGGCAACTGAACTCTTTTGGTGGAAGGAGTGTGGAGAAGTAAAATTCGGTGGAGAGAAGCAACAACAATAACAGCAAAGAAAAAGTTATATAAGTGCCATGCGTAAATGTATAATTCCAATTGTAGAGTGTGTCTAAGTGTGTATGCGTGTATGATTTCAATTGATCGAGAATCCATCAACGTTTTCGATCGATTCCCGTGCAAATACTACATTATTTTTTTTGGTACGATCGAGTCTATTCGTTTTTTTTTATACTTATATATATATTTTTAATATTTTATTATTAACAGATTTATTTATATTTGTATACGTATAAATATTTTATCAAACTGAAGCATTATTACTACTCTCTATTTATATTTAAGAAAAAAAACGATAACAATATATATTTGTGATGAGAAAAGAATGTTTTTATCCAATAGATTATTCTTTTTTCGTGTATATGTAAATATGCGTAGGCTTGTCTTGATTGCTATTAATTAATTAATTATTCTCTCTCTCTCTCTCTTTCTCTGGTTTCTTAAATGTGATAATTGTAACGACAATTTATAAAGCTTATATATATATTCTGTTCTACTTCTATACTTTCTGTACATAAAAACAAAACTTTCAATCAACTTCAAACTTAATTCTTCTAAAAATTTTAATAAAAATAAAACTGTGTACGTGTGTTAACTGATAAAGCAAACCAAATATGAATGTATATAGTCATTAAATTAGTTAATCTATAAAAAAAATATTGATTTTTTTTTATTATTATTTTAAAACAATAGCTGTATGGTTTAGTGCTCCTCAGTGTATTGTTGTTTTATTCCCACTTTTACTCTTTGGAAGATGCTGACGTACAACCTTTTGTTGTTGTTGTAAAACGTGCGCGCATTCGTCCTCTTGACATCGCACCTTCTGTTTTGTGAAAACCAATCATAGCTAGTGATACTTAAACAAAACTAATTATATTATTATATATATACATAGATTTTGTATGTGGAAGATGCCGGCAGTTGTTCGTCTAGCGAAAGATCACGAAGGAAATTATATAATGGTTTACAAAAATCACAAATCCTTGTTTTTATTTAACCAGCAGAAGTTTTTTTTTTATAAAAGTTTAAGAAAAAAAAAATCTCCTTGGACCTTTTAGTCGTAAGCAAGTCGTAAATATTAAATGTTTGCTTTTTCTTCAGTTTTTTCATTTTTTTTTTCTATAGAATAGATAAATCAAACTATATCTTATCTATATTTATGACTACAAACAGACGTTCATGATAATTATAACATCAGGAAAAAGACGTATCCTAAAGTAACTTGAAATAAGAAATGTATTCTATAATTATTGGAGATTAAAAACGAATACGACCAAAAGATTACTAAACCCTACGTCAGGGGTGTCCAACCTTTTAGTTTCCTTGAGTCACATTGGAAGAAGACGAGTTGTTTTGGGCCGCACATAAAATAAACTAATGTTAGTGCAAATAATAAAATAGTGCCGCATGCGGCCCATAACGGTTATGCTTATGGGCCGCATGAGGCCCGCGGGTTTGACAAGCCTGTACAAAGAAAGTAATTAAGTTTTTTTTTTTATTAAAGCAAGTAGTTTTTGTGATTAATAATAATTATATTATAATTTATTGGTACTTACAACATATTGAATTTTCTTCTTTGGTTTAGCAGTGATTCTCAAACTTTTTGGTCCGTGATCCCCTTTTGACATAAAAAATTTCTGCGACTCCTCGAAGAATGAGCATGTGTAGAAAAACAACCAAGATTGATTTGTTATTAATTTTATATGACCAACCAAATATTTTATGCGACCCACACTTTGCGAATCACTGCTGTAGTGGATTCTCCTGCTACCAGCTGTAGAAATTGGAATTCGATTGTTTAATTATGACGAGTGGTAATCGATTAGTTTAAAAAAGATTAAGGTATTAGAAAATTTGAATTTACTGTTTTAAAGAATAATTCTTTCGGTAGTTTTGGTCAATTAATAAAGTTATTAAGCTTTAATGCGTTGGTGGTTTTCGCGAATCAAAACGCGAGAGCGGTCACAGTGACAGCTACTGTCGCAAGTTGAATTTAAAGTTCTTTATTGGATTTCCTTTTTATTCTACATTGTTCTGAATGCACAACATGCTCCATTGCTTCCTTCTTCTATTTCCTTGTATGGAAAACCTTTCTATGAACTTCACATTTCACTTCGGGCAAGTACCAATGGAACATGTAAACAACCATTGATCATTAAAGTTCTTTGTCTTCAGAAAACATACAATAGAAACTGCAGCTTACTAGGGACAATTTTTATTTTTTATTACAAGAAACATACTGAATCAGTGTCTTCATATAAGAATGTGCATTAATTGTTAGTGGTCAAAATGTAAATAGTCAACTTGTCAACAATAAGTGGTACAATTGTATTATTTTAGGTGGAGCTGATAGCAACATGCCTCTAATGCAGTGCTTTCCAAACTTGATGTTACTACGCCTTCCTCAAAAGTATGTAATCATTTGGCGCTTCCCCTCCCCCTCCATTTTATAAAAGACATAAAACTTTAGCAGACATTTGGAAAATTGCTCACTGCGACTAATATTCGCGCCTCCCCTTAGACTAGGTCACGCGTCTCACAGTTTGGAAAACGCTGCTCTAATTTATAAGTTGACGAACTTATATTCTCCAGAAAGTGGAAAACATTCTTTACTAGCAGTTTTAATTTGCAACTAGTAGAAACCTTAACTGCTGAATGTGACCAAAAATATTACTTCATTAAGAAGATGGATAACAACTATGAACCGTGCAGCACCCATGATTCTTTTGTTGCTTTCTACATGATCTTTAGAGACTGGAAAACATTTCTGAATGCTAACAAAAATGTTAATTTTCATCAAATTCCCAGAAATTGACTAAAAGTCTTTGCATACTTTAGATCAACATTCATGTTCAACATTCTTCTAGAAGAAGTGCTTACGAAAATACAGGCCAGTTTTGAAACGTTCTTTTCCAAACTATCTAATACTAAAGTTGCTACGAGCTGTAGTGAATAGGATTTTCTTAAAAATATTTACATAGGTTTTTAAGTAAATTGAACATATTTACATGGGATTTTAGTTTTTCGTGACTTTCTCGACAACCCCTTAAGATAATTACATCGAACACTCAATTGAAAGATGAATGTCTCACCTTTCCAACGAGCCTACTGGTATCTTCGTTCTATTTCCGAGCAGCCTGCTTAAAAATCGATGTTTCGTTGAGATCCGACGAGTTTTCACGTTTTTTCTTAATTACACTAAAATTACGTAACTTTTGCCGCATTTAATGATTGCGTAAGATGGGCAACAAAAGTTACGTAATGTTCGTTACGTAACAGGGAAAAGACGATTTTTAGATTTTCATGAACTTCTCGACAACCCTTCAAGATAATTACATCATCGACCACACTACTTAAAGCTTAATTCCTCACCTTTCCAATGAACCTATTGGAATCTTCGTGCTGCAGTGCAGTGATTCTTAAACTTTTTGGTTCGCGACCCCCTTTTGGACGTAACACCACTCTTTGAGAATCACTTGGTTTAGTATAGAAACAACAAAAAATAAAGTAAATTTCACTGTTTATTTCTAAATTGATTCATAAATAATTAATAAATAAATAAATAATTTCATTTAAAACTAATGCTTATTTTTCAAATTATAATTAAAAAAACTTGAAAATACAAATACACATTTTAAACTTCAGTTCTAGGATGTTCTAAATACAATTTATTTTTTGTAATAAATGGATTTTTTTGTAATATTGATAAATTTAAGTGCTCCTAAATTGAGTAATAATAAAGAAATTAAAGTGTCTTAAAACTAAGGTGGAATTCTGAGTAATTCTAATTACGTAAAATAAATAATATAAATAAATAAATATACCCGCTTATTGGAGATAAATTATGTGCGAGGGGAAACGTTACAATCTTGGTTTTCGCGCATTCATAAACATTTCCGCGATAATTTATCCCCAATATTGAAAATTGAAGGAAAGCTATACAATTGGAGTGAGGGGGGGCGGACACTGCACGCATTCAAAATTTCTCTCCGCGATTTTGAATGCACGTACATCGACGAAACAAAATCTGAGAAATAAAACCTAAGCACCAGAAATCATAAATTGCGTCTACTAAAAACTCGATGACTATGTACAACAACAAATATAAAGGGGAAGGAATATGTCTTTCTCTAATCTAGGTAAATGATAATTTTCATTGCTTTAATACTGAATAAAAAGGTCTCGAAGTCTGTGCCTCGAGGGAATTTTGGTGTAAAGCCTAATTAGTTTCCAATCACCAAGTCGCTCATCTCCTAAAATCTAAGATGATCGTCTTATTGTGTTGTGGCTCTTCCTGTGTATCCGCCCTCGAAGTTCCGAGCGTCGCGCACGAATTGATCCAAATTCTTGTGGGTGTTTGCAGCCCCGACGAGCGTGCTGTGCAGCCTTGAGGCTAACCAGCACATGACGAATGCGGACATGAAGAGAAGGCATCCCAAGATTGCTGCGATTGCAAGGAAACTGTTGCAGGAGCTCTCGATTGCAGCTGTCCGATGGTAAAACTCTCCGGGCATCAGCACCGTGTACTCGATGTTCTCCTTGAACTTCGTGTACTGCGTGGTGTTATTGTACTGGTCCTGCAGATGCTGCGGCACGATCTCCACTTCTTCAACGGTCCTCCGTTTCCTGCGTTTCCCGTGACCGGAAGGCTCGAAGAGGTCCAAGCAGAAGTCCGGTTGGCAATCGGCGGCGTCCATGCACGCTTTTATCTGAGAGTGGATCCAAAGCGTCGAACGCTCCTTCATGGTGGAAAGGAGGAAAGCCTCGAAGTCGAGGAAGACCTCGTTGTGTCTTTCACGGTATCTTGCTGGTTGGTGTGGAATTATCGAAGCGAAATCGCGGTTCCTGCATCTGCAAAATTCAAAAAGGAATTACAGTATCGATTAAGAAATAACATTTAATTTTTCATATTGAATAAAATAATTCTATATAATTAATTAATTTGTGAATTCAATGTTATAAAAATATAAAATGTAAGTATTTATTCTTGTGTATAGTTGGTTGCATAGTTAACAAGCTTGAATTAGATCGGTTCTGCTCAAAATCCCGACAATTAAAGTCCAGACACTATGAAAATTACAAACAATTTTGCAAATTTTGGCAATCTTCAACCTGTTTATTATTAACTAGATAGTTTTAATTTAGTGTAGTTATAAAACACGGTTTCGATAAAACACAGGTTTTACAATGTCGGGATTTCTACTATGTTAAAACGATGACATAGTGGAAATTCCGATTAGTGGGATTTCGATATAAACCTATGAAGCTAAACTAGTTTACCAGTTTAACTTATCTTATTGTCCTATTGGCTTAGCTCTTAAGCCAATCTAATTTCTATTTGAATTTAAGTTAACCTTTTTTACCTTACTATTCCTAATGGACATATCAGTAATAGTGGATGCGTCGGGTATTACATATTGTATTAGTTCACAACTAATAATACCTATTTTAACTTGTACACTTGTCTCTAAAGAAATTATCCAACAATCTTGCAATCATTGAAAATAGTTGCATTGGATATTAAACAATTGCCCAATACTAGTTCTGAATACAAATCAAATTGCTTGGCAAGATTGTTGACTGAATTTGATGAGTTAAAATTGTTGAAAAATTGTATTGCAAATATTGAAATTACCCGTCTTTGACGAGGGCGACGCTTCCGCCCATGTGTGGGTCATCTGGGTCCGGGCTGACGGTAACCTCCATCAGCTTGACATACTTCCATGCGGATTCCGGCGAGATGCGGGCACGCAACTGCAATTTGGTGCCGATGGGAACGGCCTGATCAACGGGAAGTTCGCTGTTCGTGGAGTTGTGGATGCGGGCGGCCGGCGCCTCTTTGTACAACGCAACCTCGTATTCCAAACGACCCGGCGTCTCCTCGACGACCCCCGAAACCCTTGCACTGTGCGGACTGCAAAAAAAGAAACAACAATCATTGCATCACCTCCTCAAAATCTTAGAAATAACGAAGCTGAAACTTACAAACTACCAGCGAAACCTGCAGCTTTGTTTTCGATGACCGTCGACTCCGGTGGTTTGCACATGATGATCAACTCCTGGTCGGATTGCATCACGACGCCGGGGAACTGCGGGAACCAGATCCTCACGTGCACGAAACCCTAAATAAGATTAATTAGATTTTGCTTTTACTTGTAATAATTGCAAATAACATTACGTTTCTCTTTAATACGCCGCAATGGGTGAAGTCAGATATTCGTAGATTGTACTTGAGACCCGCTGGGTCCGCAGTATCCGGTCGTATCTGACATAACGGATCCGCTTCCGGGTCTACTGCTCTGTCATCCGCGAAGAGTGGTGCGCCTTTGAATCCATCCGGTTTCTTCAGTTTAGCCACGATCAGATCCCTAGTTCCCATGCCATTACCGCTGGCGAATGTGCATTGGATTTCACTTACTATAAATAACGATAATTATTGTACAACAATAACAATACTTCAATTTACATTTTTAAAAAAAGTTTCTTTTTTCGTTATGGGCGTAATTAAATGTAAACTATTAATTTTTCATAAGTAAAAGTCATTGCTAAGTCAAAGTTTTGTTGTAATTAAACAATTTGGAATTTCTATTTTCGTTCTAAACAAATTTAAACAAATTAATCCATAATTTATAGTTTCTAGTAATTGTATTTATTGTAGTAATTCGGAATTTCTACGTTTGTTGTAATCAACGAAAGTTTACAATAGTTATGTTTAATGTAGTGAGTGTCAATTACATGGTTCGTTAATTGTATCTTCACTTTCTAAAATCCTATTATTTTTTTGTTAACATTTAAGTTCAACATAAACGCAATGCGGCAATAATATGATTCAATTATGTAATTTTAAAACTTTTAAACATAATATATTTACGTCTGTTCTATAGTATAATTTTTCAGAAAGTTAAAAACATTGGTCTCACTTTCAATATAAAGATTGGTAAATCAAAGTAGTCAAAGTGGACATCATTATAAATTATAGTTATTAGTTGTTAGAGTTAAATTGAGATAAACATTCGATTTCAGTGTACAGGAAAACCTCGCATAGTTCAGCTTCGATCAGTTCGGATTTACTACATTCCAGTTTGAAAATTTCAAAATAATCCAAAATACATTTCCTTTTGTGCGATTTAATTTTCTATGTAAGTTCCTTTATTAAACTGGTACTGGTACTGGTCGTACAAAGCGAAGAATGATTAAAAGAAGCTTTTTAACTCTATCAGGGGCCAGAAGTTCTTAAATTCTTAGATAACTGAATCAGACAACTTTGTTAATTAAATCAACATTGTATGGTATGGTTTCAACATAAACATTTTCTATTGCCTTATCAAATTCATCCCTTTCTTGGACATTTTCTACAAACTTATAGTAATGCCCTACTTGCCATGTTCAAAAGGTGGTACATTACGTGTACCACTCAACTCAAAGAGTTAAACTATATGTTATAAGTAAGAAAACTTGTTTTTGTTTTGTTAACTCAAGTTTGTATTTTTCTTGAATGTTTAGGTAGAAAATCTTCATTTATCTTTCAGGTCTAAGTCTATTCAGAAAGTTGTCATTTCTACAATTAAAGATATGTAGGTTTATTATTCTTGATTTTAACTACTTGACATACAATTTTTAAAGAAAATATATGTTGATTTCTTACGGTTTCTTCTGTAAGTTTTGCAGTAACAAAACATTGATATACAGAATTTGCAGTAAATTACTTTATATTTGGATTATTCTCATTCGATTCTTCTATAATTTCTGACTAATTTGATTCAGAAGTTTTATAAAAAGGAGTAGAATTTGACTCTAATCTTCTCAATACCAAAGCTTTCTTTTTTTACAATTTTAAAAATGTAATAATTATTGGTTTTACCGTGTGATAAAGTGAAAATTCGAAAAGAAACGTTATTGTATGTGAAATGTTTAATAATATTTTAATAATTATATCTAGATAAATATATATCTCAAAAGCAATCTAACATTTTTTTTTATTACTCTTTGGATTTTCAAACCAGTTCGCAATGATTATTTAATCTTTAAATTGAGAGTATTTCAATTACTTCATATTAATGCCGTTTCCGTGCGGCTCGGAAATTAAAGACGAACGTTTAGCATATTAGCAATTAGTAAACAGTGCGTATAAGTACTGAATTCACGAGTCGGTCGGTGAGAGTTAGTAGAGCGAGCGTTGCGTACATGACGCATGCACGTCTACCGTTAAGGTAATAAACGTGTGTAGGAGAGATGTATATGTACGGTAGTTACCAAAAGAAAGAGGGACCTTCTCCTTCGTCCTCCGTTTATTTTGGCCACCTCCGTTCGGTGCTGCTCAAGTATTATTATTATTATTTGCATGGTACTACAAAAAGACTAACGGAAGAACGGTTTATTTCAGTTTGTTCTTACGCTCGGTGAGCGCATGTCGAACCCCAATTACTTAACGCAACACCATGGCAAATCTAAAGACACGGGAAGTCGGATGTGCTTTAATACACATTCGTCGGTCAATTACGAAAATTAAATCATAACGCAACGAATGATTTATAGATTACTGCTATTACTCATTATTATTATTGCTATTGCTGTAGAATGCAATTTACCCCAAAGGGTAATAACCGTATTTACTTGTTTTATTCTTTACTGTTAATTACATTTATAACAATTATCTATTTGCGAATTTATATATATATTTTAAAGCATATTTTGAAGATAGGATTTGAAAATAATTACTAAAAACATGTTTGTGTTTTAGTTTGGAAATCTATCAATTAGAAATAAAGAGAATTTTCATTGAGATTTTAATGCAAATTCAAAAAAAATGTATGGTTTTTAAGGGTATTTCTAGCCTAGACTTAAAAATAATTACTAATGTATGTAAAAATGTTTGTTACTTTGGAAATCGATAGAACTATAGACTAAGTAATACAGATTTGATTGCAATTTCAAAAAATGTAATTTTGATTTGAAACATTATAGATTTGCAGACTAGAAACTATAAAAGTAAATCAAAATAGTCTGATTTTTGAGAATATTTCTAGACTAGACAATTATATCAATCAATCATGTAGAGATATTTGTCTTCTAGCATGGATATCAATAAATTTATAGACTCATAAATAAAGAGAACATTCATTGAAAATTTATAGCATTTCAAAAAATGTGTGTTTTAAGTATATTTTTGGAGTAAACTTTTATATCACTCACTAAATTGTGTGAAGATGTGTGCTTTACTTTCGAACTTTATGGATTTATAGAATAGAAAATATAAAACTAAAGAACTTAATAAAAATAGTCTGATTTTTGAGGATATTTCTAGACTAGACATTTATATCAATCAATCATGTAGCGATATTTGTCTTCTAGCATGGATATCAATAAATTTATAGACTCATAAATAAAGAGAAAATTCATTGGAAATTTATAGCATTTCAAAAAATGTGTGTTTTTAAGTATATTTTTGGAGTAAACTTTTACATCAATTACTAAATTGTGTGAAGATATGAGTACTCTATCTTGAAATATTACAGTTTTATAGAGTAGGAAATATAAAAATAAAGAATTGTATCAAAATTGTCTGATTTTGAAATTATATTTCTAGACTAGACTTTAAAAAAATTACTAAAGTTTCTAGAGATGTCTGTCTCTTAGTTTGAATATTGATAAATCTATAAACTTGAAAATAATGAGAATATTCAATAAGCTTTTATTACAAATTCAAGAAATAAACAAATTTAGAGTAAACTTTTGTATTAATTATTAAATTGTGTGAATTTTACTTTGGATTTATATTTAGAGATTTATAGACTTTTATATCAAGTGTTTAACTGATGTTTTTCTTTTAGTTTGAAACTCTAAAAATTTTAGATACAAAAATAGAGAGAACAGAAAATTATATTCGTACATAAAAAGTATCTGCCTTTTCGGTTTTACACTCATAAGTATACAAAATTCTTAGAAGAATTAAGAAGATTTCTAACAATGAAACAGTTAGAGTGGCTTTGGGAATGCTATTATTACTGTTAATTTAATGAATAAATACAGATAAGGAAATACATGAATATATGAATTTCTTGGCTACCTTAAAATTATAATTTCAAATTACAACAAATATTGGTAGACAGAAAAACTACGGTCGATAAACTTTTGGATCAAATTAAGCGACAAAAAAATGTATACATATTGAATTTATAGTATGTAGTGTGTTAGAGCAGTGTTTCTGAACATTCAACATGTTTTTATTGTTTACAAAATTAAAAATTTGACGTTTTGACACAAGGTGACAGCTGTCATTTCAAGACCCATTTAAAACCATATATTGGAAAACTTGATTTTTAATGAATCTCAAATAGATAATGTAAACATTTCATCATCTAGACTTTATTGAAGTACTTATAATAAGAAACTGCAAACGTTAACGTTGAATTTCATTATTTCAATGAAATTTGATTGCAGTAAATTGGTCAAAATCCTTCTAAAAATGGAAGAATAAACTAAGTTAAGCCTATTCATACCAAGTCTATTTCCTAATTATGGTAGTAGTCTAGTAATTATGTATCACCTTTTAAACATATTTTAAGTATAAACAATACGTAAAATATTAAACATTTCTGGATGATATTAGAATATTGGTTAGGGATTAAAATCTGTAATTGTATTAAAACTATAAAGGTTAATTTCTATCAAACCGAATGGTAAAAATAATTATATTCTACATCAATGAATGTTGATAATTTAAATAATTATTACTTAATAAATTTGTTACTACTGATAATTGAAAGTTATATTAGATTGGAATCAAAATGAAAAGCGAAATAATAACATGTTGCTTATAGACGGCGTGAATGTGATTGGGTTTCGCCTTCATTCCGATAAATTGATTCGTATAATGAGGATGGATGGATTGGTTTATGAATTGAATTGAAAAAGGAATAACGAAGATCGACTTTACGGTTTGACGTCTGTTTGTTGTACAGTTAATGCGAGATGTGTGTGTGAATTGGCCGAAAAATGCGGCGAATCGTTTCGGTTAATTTGTGTGGGAATGAAATGTTTTAGGAACATCTTGAAAGCAAAACAATGATGATGAAGACGTTGGTGAACCAAAAAAAAAATGAAAGAAACAACTCACCTTCGTAATCCTGGGCATCTCCGATTGCGATCTGAAACAATTGCAGAAGCATTAGTATTATATATATATATTGGATGAGGATGAGTGGTAGGTATGATGTAACAGTTATAGTGGATGAACGGATCCATTCGCGTGTTCGCAAATGGATAGATCACGACGGTTCTCGTTCGCAATTACGCACTATATTGCGATTGAGATCGTTACAGTCGCGCTCTTCGGAGAAGAAAATTCACTGCCCATCGCTCCTGTACCGTTCTTTATTTGTTTTTTTCTTTCTTTTACAATATTCCTCTAGCATCCACTCAACTCTGGCAAACCAATTCAAATTTAATCGTGTAGAAATTCTTGAAGCAAAACCGAAATGAAAATGAAATAAAATTATACAATTTGTAGAAAGATAATGTTAATATTTTTTTTTTGCTAAAATAATTAATTTCTTATTTGAGTTTGTAAAATATTTATAACGTTAGAGTAGCGTTTCTCAACCTTCAATATATAATTGTACTGTGACCCAATTGTTTACAAAATAAAAATATTGACGTGTTGATGCAAGGTGACAGCTGTCATTTCAAGACCCGTTAAAAATTTGATCTTTCCCATAGATTGGAAAACTTGATTTGTTATGAATCTCAAATTAAATAATATAAACATTTCATCGTCTAAGCTTTATTGAATAATAACCAAAGTAAACTGCAAATGTTAAATTTTACAATTTTAATCAAATTTGATTGAAGTGAAATTGTAAAATTTGTTCTAAAGATTGAAGATTCATACCATGTCTATTTCCTAATTATAGTAATAGTCTAGTAATTATGATTCATCTTTTAAAAAATGCATGTTTTAAGTATAAATAATAATAAGCAATTTGTAGAAAGATATTATTAGCTTTTTTTTGTTATAATTGTTAATTTCTTAATTGATTAAATTAAAATAATTAATCCTAATTAATAATATGGACTTCTCTGGAAAATAATTGAACGAATTAAATTTTAAAATTTTCTCGGAAAACTGGTAGAAAAGCATTTTTCTCAAATAACCGCCTAATTTCAGTGGTTCCTACCGTCCCCTTTCCAGAAAATATATTACTCAACGCCCCCTGGATTTTTTTAAATTTCAATAGCATTTAAACAGAAAGATATATAGGAAGATTAATGTTTTTACCTCATCCTGGATCGCTGCAGAGCCCACCAGGTGGCGGTAGCACCCACTTTGGGAATCACTGGTTTAAATGTTCAAAGCACCTGTGATTCGTCGTTTCTCATATACATAGTTGTGAGAAAACAATTGAATCATGCTCGAAAAAGTATTTGAATTAGAATTTAAATACATATTTTATATTAAGTTATTTGTTATATTAGTATAAATATTAGAGAATTTCAAATGATTTACTTGAATTCATCAACAATTATATATTATTTAATTAATGAATAATAAAAAGGAAGATTAAACTAACAAATTCATTATTATTTTCAAAGAAAATTAATTGAAATAATAAAAAGACAAAACTTGTGTATCAATGTATTCTAATATGTCTCTAGTTTATTACCTGTATCAATCGACTATTACTTCTTTTTTTAAATTAATTGATAATGGAAAGAAAGATCAAGAAGGAAAATTTAGTAAATCAATTAAATTATATTATTTATATAAGTATTTCAAGTATTTTTTTGTATGGATCAATAAATTATTGTTTGCTTTGAATAGAGAAGAGATCGTAACAAAAGGAATGAAAATTCGTTAAATTCGCCTAGAATTGCATCATTTTATAATATTACTATGAATTGAAACTATTACTTTTTTAATTAATAGATGATAGAATAAAAAACTAGCTAAGATAATTCAATGGAAATGCCGATTTGTTTAATTAGTATGAGTGTAATATGTTCTTAGATTTAAAGTTTTGTTCTTGAATCAGTAGATTATTACATTGTATTTAATTAATAGATAATAGAATGAATATAACTAGAGAAGATAATTTCATAAATCACAAGAGCATATGCTCAATGCTCAATATAAATGCTGATTTCTATGATTAATATGAATGTAAGAAGTTCCTACATTTAAAGTTTTTTTTCTTGAATCAGTAGACTATTACATTTTTTTAAGTTAATAGAATGAATAGAACTAGAGAGGATAATTCCATAAACCACTAGAGCGTTATGATCAATGGAAATGCCGAGGGCACACGTAGAGGAAACAGGTGGAGAGGCTGCTAACTGTAATCGAACGAAAACGCGATAAATCAACGCTCGAAGCAGCAATGCCGACGATTTTTTATATATATTTCTTTTTATATATCGAATCGTGCAATAAACACTGATTGATTGGATATTTTGCGAACGGGAAGAGTCGCCAACTAGCTGAAGGATAATTGAATAATTGCGATTCGTTAGAATCCTAATTAGCGTTAGCAGTAATAAGTTCATAAATAAGTAATGAGCTTGGGAAACGTTAGGATTGGCAAAGAGGAGAGAAGTGATAGAAGAGGTTCAAGAGATGGAAGACCAGTAGAACGATATCATCATTTTGGGGCCAGTCGGTTAGTCGTCCAAATCCTGTTTGGCTGCAACTGCAACGAACGGACGATGCGACAACGTCGATACTTCTCGTGTAACAGAATATATTATACACATATATGATTAATATAAGGAATATGAATTGAGTTGTCAGAAGTAGTTGGTGTTCGTTTACCGAGGAAGCAATCTGTTATGCAGCAAATTGATATAATAATGTTTCAACGGAGAAGTGCGGCTTGTGCTCTCTCTTTGCCGCCGCTCTGTAATTAAATCTGGCACGAGCCTTCTTCATTCTTCGTCCTCTTCCATCGTTGATGATCATCCTCTCACGCTCCGCAATAAAATTCGAAATTTATGTAGTACTACTATATTTATATAAATATTTCATTACATTTTTTTTTATTAAGAAATTATTTAACTGCGAATGTACCGTTCCTCCTGTCTCCACAAAACGCGCGGACTGTGCGATGTAAAAATGTTTACTCTCAATTATTGAATTACGTCTCACAATTCCTTCCATTTGCAGCGGACGTTATTTACGAATCGTCATAAATCTTCAGATTTATATACTACACCGATTATAAGTGAATTGCATTTTTGACCCATATTTTACTCTTTTTTCTTTATAAAAGATGTTTCTCTTAATCTTAAGATTTACATCAATATTCATTTAACTATAATCTATATCTATATAATAGGTAATCATCTTTATATTAAGAATTTACCTATTAATATTAGAATTTATTGCAAAAAAATATTCAAAACATAATGATTATATTTTTAATTAATTACTAAATTCCTCAAAAGAAATAAAAACATTCATACCAAAGTGCCAAAAATGTTAATAAAACAATAATAATTATGAATTTCGCACAATTTAAAGGATAAAAATCCTGATATTTGTTTTATTACCCTATAAAAATTGTTGGTGTTAAGACTGAGCTGAATGACTCTTCTCGTAGTCTTCACAAGATAATGCATTTTCCGATTTATCACTTACTCTGGTCTTTGCACTTAACTGCAAGAACGATTATTTTATAGTCGACAAAACACCTGGAAAAGTTTTTTTTGACGATATTTAGTAAATTACATAATTAAGGACTAAATTTAAATGTTATTCTCAATATAAAGGACATAATGAAAATAAATAATAGTTCTTTGATTTTGATTACTTAATAATACAATGTGAAAAATTGATTTTTTTTTTGTTTATTTATATAAAATATTCGATTACCTTCAGCACGAACTTTGATACTCGATATCTTTGACATTTTGTTTTAACAGTTCTTTGTTTTTTTTCTATTGTGAAGGTAATTTATCAGCCTTTTAGACTCACGATTTGGTTTGTGGCTATGTATAAAATTGGCTTTTGCAAATTAACTTTCATTAATTTTCAAATTTCTAGATAACTCGAAGTGTTCATGAACGTAAAGTACGTCGATGGTTTGAAAAGTACCGATCTGATAACTTTGATCTTTAAAATGAACCACAAGGTGGTGAGCTGAAAGCTGCATTGGAACCGGATACATCTTAAACTACGCGTGAAATTAGCATTGGTGAATAGAGTCAAGCCAAACATATTGCAGGACAATGTTTGTTCACATGTCGCACGAATAACGTTGCTCAAATTGAAGGAACTGAACTTGGAAACTCTCTATTCCTCAGACCTTGTACTATTGGATCACCTCTTGCAAGGAAAAATATTTCATTTTCAACAAGCTGCAGAAAACGCCTTTTGAGATTTTATCACCACTCGCTCTTAAGGCTTATTCGATGTTGGCATTAACAAACTACTGCTAAGATAACAAAACTGTATTGATAGTTTACTCACAAACTTTAGTTAATTATACTGCTTATTGTTTCAGATATATTAAGCCAAATTTTCAGTTTAAAATCGAAGATTTCCTATTGAATGCCTCAATATAACAATTATATAAATTAGAAAAAATAAACAAAGTGAAATTAAGTTTTGTAATATAAAGTTGTATATGCATAAAATAATGTATAGTGGAACCTCGCATAACGAGCAAAATGAATTATAAAAAAATGACTCCAAAATGGATCGCATTATCGTATATTACATTAGTTTATATGCAGAAAATTGTTTCACTATACGAGTAAAAATCCGGAAATTTTGGAACGAGTAATACTCGTTAAGCGAGGTTCTACTGTATACATGTTTTAAAGATGAATAAATATCAATGAGAGAAAACAAGTTGTCTATGTTCTAATTTCACAATTATGATTGACGATGTAGTGTAATCGTGTGTAGTGTGTAGTGTGCGGTTTTGCGGCTTTTTCGAAGTAGATCATAAAGAGTTAAAACGGTTCTGGCTTTGTAATAAAAACTAGCAATAAAAAAAAGCGTCGTTTTACATAAATCATTAAATATTTATTATATTTGTGTAGATGATAAAAAAACAGTTTTAAACAACTAATAAACATCACATAATTTGAAAAATTTAGTAAAATGTCAATGTGTAATTCTCGTAAACAAATACAGTTTTTTTTTTAAAGGTTGATGCAGTAAATTTGAACGCTTGTCAAGTAGATTCAGAGCTAAAACGTTGAAGCTTATCTTGGCATCTATTACTGTTTCTTTCTGCAGAGGTACAGTTTCCATATGGAGCTACACGTTTACATTCTTG